AAGCTGCTCTATAGTAAGTCAGGCATTTTGTACACAGACAAAGACAAAGCAAACGTATTTGCAGAGGAATTCACTCCTAACGTGCATTTTTCTTCTTTGCAGCCTCCATAACTAGGAAATCTTTTCGATATGGGAGCAGTTGTGATTTCGTTGAGATAAAAGAATTTAGCGAGTCCTTCTCACTCATCTCATCCTCACTAACATCAGTCGACGTCCTATAAAAGGACATTTTTTAATGCACCCGAGGGCACAGCAGCAATGAAAAATATTTCAGTACTGTAAAGAAAAACTGCACTAGCAAAGAAAATAACTGAACAATGCTGACCGTCTACTCTACTCAGCAAAAAATCAAATATCAGAGTGGTTCCAAAAGCGTGTTATACGTTCAGCATCTCAGCACTCCAGTCCGAATCGATTAATCAATAATCTGCTTGCGAATATGCATCTGTTGTCTCTGATGTTTATCACCATTGTATAAAGAGATGTAAGCTGTATAAAACTGTAGGCCGCCTAGCACTTCCATAATGATGATGTATAAGGAAGGTTATATGTTCTAAAAAATTATCCATCAAGAAATAAAATTACGTTGTGAATCTATAGCTACATTAGTCTCCAAGCTCTATCCTTCTACTGCACATTCTGTCTGTATGCTAGGAACATCTATAACCATCTCCTGAATGACTTCAAAATAATGTGTCTTCTGTGCCATGCATTCTAAATTATTGTAGTAAAGCCAAAGTGTGTTGAAATGTTACGCCTGTGTTCAAGAGTCATCTGTTTATGCAGTAACAAATGTCCAGCTTATTATAATGTTGCAAAAACATTGGTAATCATTTCAACTCTTCCAGTATTATGCCGTATATATATATACACTCAACGAGGAAAAACATTATAACCATCCCCACATTTTTCAATGAACTCATCTGGGTGACGTGCATGCCACATAATTAAGTGGGAATGGTATTTAACTGTTGCTGGAGAATGTAAGGAATCATTTTTGCACTTTAGCAAGTGATGGGAAAGCTGCTGATCTAAGCAATTTTGTTAGAGGGTGGATTGTAATGGGCCAAAGACACAGAACAAGTATCTACAGAAGTGCATGACTAGTAGGTTCTTTATGATCTGCTATTGTTTGTATTTATGCAAAATGGATAAATTACTGTGAAAACAGCCAGTAGACGTCAAAGTGCTTGGCATCCATGCATCATCAACGAAAAAGGACGTCTGAGAATCCCACTTGTTACAGCAAAATTGGCACCAAACAGTAGCTCAGCTGACAGCTCAAAACACTGGAGGTCAAAATACAAGGGTTTCAGAATGCTTAGTTCAGTGGACACTGTTTGATATGGGACTGTGCGGCAGACATCTCACTCATGTGCTTCTGTTGATCAAGCGTCATTGTCAACTACAGCTGCAATGAGCCTGGGAACATAGACTGGACCTTAGATAAGTGGAACACAGTCGTCTGGTCAGATGAATTACGTCGATGGTCATGTCAGTATATGCTGTCTTCCAGGTGAACAGTTGCTTCCCCCTGTACAGCAGGTCATAACTATCCTGGTGGTGGCGGTGGTATGCTTTGAGAAACTTTTTCATGGGCGGTTCTAGGACTTTTATTTGTAGTAGAACAGATCATGAAAGCTGCGGTTTATCTGAGCATAACTGCAGATCAGTTCACTCTTACATTTGTCTTCCCGACTGGAAACGGAATCTTCCTGCAGGACAATGCCCCCGTATCACAAGGCTTAAATTCTGTTGGAGTGGTTCAAGAAGCGTAAGGATGAATTCCAATGTCCTGGCCACCTAGGTCATTAGATCTTGACCTGATAGAGCACATTTGGAAGGTCATGAAGCAGCAGCTGAGTGCATAAATACCACCATGTTGGAATATGTTGACTTTGCATGATTGTTTCTTTGACATTTTGTACAACCTGTGTCCAGTCATTTGCCAAGCCGAGTTGCAGATGTTTTTTATGCCAAAGGTTGCGTAACGTGTTATTAATGTTTTGGCTCTTCAGTGTGTATACAATCATATGAACTATTGTCATGAAAAAGCTTCCCCAATATAAGATTCCCTAGTAGCCTATCTGCTCAATCAAAATTAAATTTCGGATATTGTAACTTGAAGGTATGCACTTAAGATTTTAATGAATTAAAAATATAGAGCTCTCATGCGTATGTTTGAAATTTTTGAATCAGAAACCTGTTTATTCCTCCACAAATTGATCAGTACATTGAAAAAAAACGTAAATGGCATTGGAATGATGAAAATTGCCAGCGTAAACATTTGCAAAGAAGAGCATTATAAAGGGACAGTGACAACACAAGAGAGGGGAAGGAAAACAGTTTCATTGGAATTAAAGATTTCAATGTTCCGACCTTCGCAGAGGATAACACGTTGCATGCAGAAGATTGTTGAAAACAATGACAGTTATTACAGTGCAGGAGGAATCTGTACAACTTCACGTTTTATGACATCTTTCAGTTCTGATAAATCACGGGGATTTGAATTGTGCACTTTCGAATTCATATAACCCCAAATCCAGAAATCCATTGGATTAGGTCATGGGGTATCACAGTGGCCATTAAAGTGCAAAGTTACAGGAGATCACTCTCATGAAAGTGCAAAGTTACAGGAGATCACTCTCATGAAAGTGCAAAGTTACAGGAGATCACTCTATCTCCAAAATGCTTGTAGGAGCACTATGTCAATGTCATTAACGAACTTTCGCTGCTGCAATTCTATAATTGCGCAGTTTTGCAACATTGTTGTATACTGAGCACTTGTGATGGAGCACATTTTCTTACCTGTAGAAATAATCTGTTCAAAGAAGTGTGGACTGAGAATTAATCTGCTTGCAATACTGCACTAGACAGTCACTGTAGCTTCATGTAAAGACACTGGTATCACATTGTGATGATTTGTTTTCAGCCCGCTGAATGCAGCTCTTGGAGTTTACGTTCTTAGTTAAGGAGAAATATGCCTCATCCATTCATAACATCTGCAGTGGTCACTTGCTATTTTCATCATTTCTGGTGAGGAAAAAAATTTGCAAAGTCCATATGCTGTTGCTCATCTTCAGGTTGCAACATCTAAACACTTTGGAATTGATAAGCAAAACAGAACACAGAAGCTTGTGACTGACTCTGGTTTTTGGTACATCCAAACTGCAGGTAATACTTCTTATGGCATGCAGTGGACCGTCAGCAATCGCCACTTCCACAAGCTTATGATTTTGCCAATGAATTCGCATCACTTTGGCAGCATTTTCCCCATTCACATAAAACGGCTTTATCAGTTCATCTCATTGTTCCCTTGTCGTCTTGTTAGCACATTCAAATACACTCAAAAGTCTTTAATCTGGACTCATCGGGACTTCGGCGATTCCGGATTATCAATTTTTCCGGATTATAGATCATCAGTTTAAATCTGGTAAGATGGCATGCAGAAATTATAAAATTAAAAATATGAAACCGTAATTTATGAAATAAAGAGCAATTATGATCTAAAGCGTATCAAAATTTACAAAAAAAGAAAGCTTAATATTTATTTGTTTACTTTATTAAACATTTCTTTCAATGTAAGATGTTTAAGTTGCTTTGTTTTATGTGATAATACTTTCTCTTTAATTCTATAAACAAACGTAATTTCTTGTTCAAAGTTCCGCTTTTGAAGTCCTATAATTGCTGTGTCGAGAATACCGACTAATTTGTCAATCGAAATTTTTTTGTTTTCAATAACCTCTGTGTCACTTTCTTCAGTATCGGAAGAAATCATTATCAGATAATGATGAGGAATTTGATTTAAATTGTATCAAATACGGAGTACATCGAGATGAAATACTACATTTAGAAAGGAATTATAAGCCAAATAAAATAAAAACATCTGCCCTGAAGATAAGGATAGTGCTGACAGATCAACTTCCAATTCATTGCGCACAGCGACGTGCCCCCCCCCACACACAAAGCAGCATGAAATTGATAAACAGATTTCGGAATGGTTAGAGAAACAAAGGATATGCCTTTATCCATTTTTGCAGCAATTCCACTTTTTGCTTGATTGACATCGAAACATACTTTCGCTTTGTAGATCCTTTGGCAGCTCCAGCATCAGAAATTCTATTTGACATAATCAAAGTTCAAGCTTACTTTTATAAAATTGCTCTAACAGTCTTAAAAAAATAATTAGCCGTATCCTATTAGCAGATTAAGGAACAACACAATCTGCAACATTAACTGAAATAGATAATTAGATAATTTGAGCTTAGCTTATACCGTCCGTTACACATTAAACGCACATGCGTGAATGCATTCTGCATTGACGCATGCGCAGAAAGTTTATAGCTTTGAGGTCCGGATTATGGGTGTCCAGATTGACGACTTTTCACTGTCCCTGATTGAAGCAGCAGTCATCTCACACTGCTTCTTAAAGGTTATTAAGGTTTGCTGATAGTTTTCTGTGATTGGTGCTTCTACTGTCTATGCCTGTGAATTATGCAAAGTGCATCATTGCATTTTTTCTATGCTTTGTCATTGGACCTTTGCATTGCTGTTCTTTGCAGATGTTTTATGTGGGTAATTTTCATCACGTGTGTATTTTTCTGCCATTTATGATGTCTCAGCGCACTCACCAATTTACAGGAAAAAAGGTGGGTGTTTCCATTCAAAATTTTGAATTTTTCACTGTTACCATAAGGGCGAGGCCTGTATTGTTTTAAAACATTGCATTCTCGAGTGCTTACCTTCAAATAATAATATCTGAAATTTTACTTCGATTGGTTGAGCAGATAGCGCTCTAGTGGTTTATATATCGGAAGAAGTTTTTTTTTAATCCAATCTTTCTCTATATAAGTATATATATTTTAAATTTTCGAATCCAAATTAATTTGTTTCTTTATTTTCTAGTTTGAGTTTTTTCCAGTTTATAATATTTGAGGGTTTAATTTTTTATTATATTTAAATGATTGGTTTTGAATGAGTTCTTTTGTTTTATATTCTAGGAATCAAGAATTTATGAAGTAGCTGTTAATGGGATAAACAGCTCAACAGAAGTTCCACAAGTGCCTGCAAATGGTATATATTTCCTTTCTAATTATTTGTACTTAAACAATTAATATCCTTTGTAGTCATTGTTCCTGATGACATTTGTACAATTAAATTATTTGTAAATTGTTAAGAAATATAATAAACTACATCGCCTCATGTTAATGAAATGTCTGTTATGACAAAATGATCAGTTCAGTAATATGTTTTATGTATTCAAAGAAACAAAATGAACATAAATATGCTGTTGAAATTTTATCATACCCTTTGATCTTCATTTATGTAATTGAAAGTTAGTCAGCTCCTGCAAATGCAGGAACCAGTGTGATGTATCTGGTGACACCATTCTGTGTGGGAAACCAAAATGTTTAGGCAATATTTAGGAACATAATCTGGAATTATAAACATGGGAAAATTCAACATATATTATTATTTTTCTTTTAATTTACCTTTGTAAAAAGCAATACATACCTGAGGCAGTTTCAGGTCCTTTAAAAAAATTAATGTTGTTAAAATTTTCTGAGCTATAGCATTTTTTATTGCCCTTTAGTTTTCAGATACTGACATTTTTCTTTCCTTATTTACATTTAGAGAGAGAGATGGCAGCACCAAGCCAATGTTGAACTAGAAACAGTATTTTATTGCTTGTTTCTGAGATTGTTTTTGTTTTCTGCTGTGTATTGTGATGTGCTGTAATGTGTTTTTATTTGTTTTGCGTAGCCAGTTTAGATTTGTTTAATTTTTTCTGCTACTAAAACTGAGAAATGCCTCCAAAAATGTTATCCGGCTATGAGAACAGAAAAAGTCATCTTCAGCCAGAAGAAGCAGTCAAGAAACAGAGCATCAATGTCTTTTAGTCCTAAGTTAAATATTGGGATCAATGCAAGCTCAACTTTTTCAGCTGCATATCTATCTATCCATCTGTCCAGGTATCATAAAATGACCGTAAGCTAATATGACTATAAGCTCAAACCACAAAAAGTACTGTACTTTCTGAAATAATAACTGCATGCATGAATTGAAAAGATGGTCACAGCTGTTATGCAGTTGAAGGCAATAGGTTATAAAATCACATTTACAGTCAGGAATACTGGGAATATTGAAAGTAAATTTGGAAACTCAACCAAAATAATGTCAGCTACAATGAATCAGCTTACTGGCAGGATGAATTATGAATAGATGAAAGTATGACATCATTATAAATGGGACACATCCTATAAATGAACTGTACAGTTTTCCAAAGGTCCAAATAAAGTTGATCTGTGACAATGATGTAGAGGGAGGGAATAATGGTGAAAATTTTCTTAGAAACTGGTTTATTTATTCAGAGCACCAATAAAATTTATTGCTTTTATTGCAGAATTGTTGCTTCCTGACTAAGTCAATGTTTAATATCTGGAATTAATGACTGGAAGCATGCTTATGAATAGTTACATTAAAATGAAAATTGAGTGCATCATCTGGAATGTCTGAAGAAATGCCTTGAAGCATCACTGCAATTACAGTCTAATAAGATTACTGATACAGAGCTTCAGTCACAAATGGAAAAAGAACAAGAGCATTGGTGTAAAGTTTTAGAATGTTTAATGAGTGTCACTGAGTATTTAGCTGAAAGCAATTTGGTTCTCAGAGGAACTTCCGGTACATTATATACACTGCACAACAGGAATTTTTTATGTTGCATTATTGGAAAATTTGATTTAACAATGAGTAAACATTTATGCTGGGTTGTTGTCTAAAACTTCACTTCACTGTTGTGGTAAAAATATTTAGAATGAAGTAATCATTTTGTTAAGAAATTCTGGTCAGGAAAATATACTTAACTGAGCTAGATCAACAAAATATTTTAGTCTTATTGTAGACTGTATACCGGATATAAATCATGTGGAGCAGCTTTCATTTACAATGCGATCTTTTTTATGTAGAAGATATTGTAATAAAGGAAAATTTTGTTAGTTGTAAAGTTCTTATAGAAATTAGAGATCAAGGCTTTTACAAAAGTATACATGATTTTCAAATAGATAGGAACATAGACTTGCAGAGGCCACGACTTTGATAATGGTTCAGTTATGAAAGGAAAAAAATAAGGGGTTCAGATGCAGAACATTTAAAGAAAAGAAAAAAAAAAGTGTGGATGTTTTATATGGCATGTGGATCTCATAGCCTAAACTTGGTGGTCTGTCTTAGTGTAACAAGTTGCCTGAAATATACTTTTTATTTTTGGTGCTGTCTACATTTACTACATCATTGTTTTCTTTCATCCTCTCTTGGGTAATGGCATGCAGTAAAAAACCATGTTAACTGCCTCACTACATAACCTTTCTGTGAGACCAGATGGAAGTGCAGAATAGAATGTTTAAAAACAATTACAAATTCAATCATGAGAATTTGAGATGCCTTTTATGAACTTTCAGAATACCTGCTTCTGATCCTGTAGCACAACATGAAGCAGAGACTCTTGTAACACAAATAGAAGATTACAATTTTCTAGTAATGATAAATGTCTAGTGTTATATATTAGACAGGATAAATGTTGTCAGTAAAACTATGCAGAGCGCCTCTATAGAACTATAATGAATAGTGTTACTGATTACTGTGAAAATGAGGTAAGAAAAAAATTAGCTTCAGTACTAGATGTAGAGCCAATGTTGGCAAATTGTGCGGTTTTTCAAAAATTTGCTACTTTTGACCAACTTGTGTGGACTAAAATTTGTGTTTATGTTATTTTGCAAAATTTTTCCTGCACCATCATTCACTTGTACTACCTTTTGTGACTTAAAAATTTTTTAATATTTCATGAAACCCGTATATGTTAAAAATATGTTTCTACTCTATTTTTAACAAATACATAAAATTAAAGCAATCTGTTTAGTCTTAAGTAAAAGCTGGTATTTGGCAATCTTGAAATCAAACAGTGCAAACAGTTTTCAATGGCAGTCGCAGGTGTTTTCACATGGTTGATTGATTGCTTTATTAAATTTTTAAAGTTTGATAATAAGCAATGCAATATTTTCAAGTGTCACTTTGACCAAAATCAAACATTGTAGCAGAATGTGTTTTGAAATCCTAGATCCCATACTTTGAATAAAGATGTCATTGGCATTAAAAGAAATTTGCTGTGTTTACTTTATACTCTCATCACCCATTCTTATATAGCTCAGGTATTTATAAAAAGAAAGAAATGAGGGTAATAGACCAAGTAAATGAACAGGATGATGAAAAGCTATTATTAAATTCAATTTTCTTTTAAAAACTGTAATTTTAAAATGAAATATTTTTAGAACTGATACATATTGTCTAAGCAGAACAGATTTAAAACTTTAGAACTTAAGACTGTTAATAAATAAATGTCCCATTGTTTGTATAAAGTTCCAAGACATCATTTTTTATCTTTTTTCCTTAGTAAAATTCTCTAAAACAAATTCAGTATTAAGTGCAGAGGACAACTTTGATTTATTTGTTTAAGCATATATAGAAATTTTTTTCATTCCCATGCCAAAAATATCATACATATCACAGATTTTTTTTTCCCTTAAAAATATAGTTATTTGAAGAACTTCCATGCAATATGCTGCTAAAACTTGGTCAGTGTAGTCGAAAAATAAGTAATTTGGAAACAATTTTATACAAAGGCCCAAAAGAAGTTAAATTCAATACCAATAATATCAAAATATCATATAAATATGCAAAATAAGAATTTTAAAAAAATGAAACAAAAACCTGAAAATTACATAAACCAGAAAAAATATACCAAAACCAGAAAAAGAAATTAAAAGAAGAGGAATCCAATCAAATCTGATGTAACATTATGTAGAGGATGCATCAGAGTCAATTGCAATCCCCCTGCCACTTGAAAAACACTGCATTTCTGTATTCAAAATTATCTGATGAACCATTCGAAAGTATTTAATTATAACAGTTCATCTAAAAATTTTGAAATCCTCCATGATGCAGGGTAAAAATTCCAATGTCAAATAAAGTAAAATAATAAAATTAGACATTTTTTACTGAATTTTAAATTAAAATAAAGTAGAAATGCCAAAATTATAATAAAAAAAAAGATAACATAAATTTAAAACTTAGTCAGAGGACAAACAAGCAATCCAGCAGTGAGAAATATTAAACACATCCAAATAAAGAAAATCCCAAAATTGAATAAAGTAAATTTTATGCAGTTTCTTCAGATTGAATCACTTTCTTTAACCATATGATTTTTATATTCATATGTTAACTGAGGTAAATTTTTTATAGATTCTTCAAATAATAATCAGTGTAAGAATTTATCTTGGGATCAAGATTGTACTAATGCTGCATTTACAGAGCTCAATATTCCAGTTTATGCTACTGTCAAAGGAGTAAGTATCTTGTTCGCATTATATATGCAAATCCAGTACAAAGTCCGAAATCCAGACATCCAATATTTGGACTTCTAAACCACCAATGATGTTTTTCTCGTAGGCTTTATGCAAACTCATTTTATTCCCCCTCCACGCATAATAAAACATTTGGAGAGTCATGATTCTTAATTTCACTTCGACACTAAATAAAATACCTTATTATTGAAGAAACAATCATTTTAGCATAAATTTGTACGATCAATAATTTGGCTCCATTGTTGCGTGTCTGCTTTGACGCACATCTCAAACTGAAACATTCCATATAGATACATCGTTGATCTGATACCAACAAAACATGGCAACTTGAGTAATGACTCATGTAGCGATGCCTAAAAAAAATTTTTTATGTCAGTAATTGGATAGTAAAGAAGAATGGTAACCTTTTTTGTTGACGTTACGCTTGACAATGATTACAGATTTAAGTTAAGAAATATTGACGAGGAAAAATTTACCAAAAATTTCTTTCCATATGCTAAAAATAGATTTTTTTTCGTAATACTAATAGACTGAAATATTAAATTTAGTTCTATTTGAATTAAGAATAACTGACTTGTTATTCACATAAACCCAGAACAAGTGCCAGAGCTCCTATAGCCGCACTGAGTCGCAGACTTTAGGACCCACAGAGACTGCATCAGGTGGTAAGATTATCTAGTGCTGGCCCTCAATAAGGCTGAAGTATAAGTGGGAATATATTTATTCAGAACTCTGATAAGCCTTAAGCATGTGCAAGAAATAGACATAAGTATAATAAATAACTAAACTAATGCAATTCAGGCTTAATTGTGTCAGTGCCCAATAGAAGCAAGATAAAATTTAACGGAACAGCATGTCATTAGTTGCCAAGCTCTTCATGCATAGCCAATTGTATGTAGTGAAGGATAGCTAAATTTGATGATGATAGCAGCTAATTTTAAAGGTTTTCGGATATCACAAAACAAAGGTCAAATTTTCCAATTAACAGATTTTGTAAAGAAATGTAGAGACGCGGTAATAAATGAAGATTATATAAAAGAAGTTTTTCATTGTGATGATAATGCTTCTCAATCATCAATGAATTAATGAATGGCAAAATCTGTAGTATAGTTCTAAATCCAGAAATATCACTACCGATAGTGAAGAAAGTGACAGAGAAGTTACTAAAAACGAGAAAATTTCAGTTTACAAGAGTCGGAATTCTCGAATTAACAGTTACAGGACTTGAACAACGTAACTGAACAAGATATTATGTCTGTCTACAGAATTAAAGAGAAAGTATTAGCACAAAAAAATAAAGCAGCTTAAAGCACATACATTGAAAGAAATGTTTAATAAGGTAAACAAATAAATATTAAGTTTTTTTTTTTTTTTTTTGTAAATTTTGATATTTCTTTGATCATAAATAACAGTTTCATATTTTATAATTTCTACATGCCATCTTACTGAATTTAAACTTATAATCTAAAATGCCAAATCCAGAATCGCTGAAGTCCCAACAAGTCCAGATTCTGGATTTTGTACTGTAATTTAAATATGTCAAAGAAAATTTGTACCTGATATCAGAGTATTCTTATTTGTGAAGAAATATAAAATATTTCTGTGAGCAATAAATTTGTAAAGGATTCTATAAAATGGGGGGGATTTTCTTTTTCTTTTATTGCAACTATGAGGGAGGGGAAGCCTGCATAAGTAATGTTTGTAAGTGCTGTCTGCTTAATCTCCCTTCCAGTTTGGACCGAAAACTTTCCGGGAAATAAAATACGAATATTTATTGTCCAAAAGCAACCTCTGAAGAAAACATTTGGATGGACAGATATTAAGAGCATCGATTTCACTAAAACTCTACAGTTGCAGGTTTGCATATTTCCAGGATTCGAACCTGAGCCCATGGTACTGCAGTGTCTGAGCCTTTTTGTTTAAAGCATGTGCTTTTAATTTATGTAAAAATGTAAGTTTAAGCATAAGCTTACGTTTTCTTAAAAAGCATTTTTTGTGCATTATTGCATGAATCATGAAAAGAAAAATACTTTTGTAATATTTATTAAAGAAATAGTCTAAATGTCTTGGCTTAGCTTGCAGCTTGCGCAGACACACAAGAAGTTAGTTTCTTGATTGTAGCAGATGTTGTTTTTGAAGCAAAATGCATGGTAATATGAGCTGAAACAGTGTTGTGTTCTTTCACCATGCTGAAAGAGCCAGAAAAGTCTTCAAATATAACATGTGCGCTCTTTCTGAAGTCTTGTAAATCCCTTGCTCTGTAACTAGATTGCTGATTTTAGACTATGTAATAGTTACTTTTATGGTGCATTTTCTATCCATTTAGCCAATGATATCTTTAAAACATAGTTTAAGGATGTGCATATAAGTAGTTTTTTAGAAAATGAAAATATTAATGGAGGTGTGAGTACTGCTTTGTGTTAAAGTGCCAAATGTTTGTATTGTATGAACATTAGCTTTCATTTTACATTTGTGTAATGAGTGCTTTTCCTTCTGGGAGCTTGTTTTGATATTTTTCCTTGTTTTTATAAAATGCTATAAAGAAAATCCTGTTCCTTAAATTTATGAAAGGTCGTTAATAACTATTGATAATTTTGTGTTTCCTTGCTCTAGATTTTTAAAACTGCTGATGGGAGATAAATATATTGGGTGATTCAAAAGTCTTTTCTTACCTCTTCACTCTGAACATAAAGAAAATGAAGTCATTTCCTGCACCCATGATCTGTGCACTGTTGACTTTCACTGTGCTCAGGGGCACTTTTTATGGTTAAGTCTAATACGGAAAAACAAGTTGCTATAAAATTGGCTTTTCATCAAAATACCATGATTTTCACATGAAAGATATAGAATATTTTACTTTATCTGGACTAAAGATTCTAATTACTGTGATTGAAAAGAAAATTAAAAGGAACATAAAATCGGTGTGCTGCCTGAGCAAAATTAGTAATTATAATTACATATGACGAGTACTTATCTTCATTAATGAACTTGGAAACTTAAAGAAATACATGTACAGATGCTTTGTAGAGCATTTATTATTTAGAAAAGCTGTATTATTATTATTATTTATTAGAAAAGCTAGAAATATTTTATGGTATGATATACGAAGAAGTTCCCGGAATTCAGTTGTAATTCTTTACAGCCAGTTACATAATCATGACAATTTACTTAATTATCTTCAAATTAAGATCCTTCAGAGCACATTCACTTGTTCCACCCCTCCTGCCAATGCTGGAAACAATGATGAAAGTTCTTTTGTGATATTGTCCGAGGTTCAGCCATCGCATGCATTTTGATGTCTTCTACAGGGCAAAAAAGGTTACCTTTGTGGCCCATTTTGGTCTTTGGGAAAAGCCAGAAATTCAACGGTGCTAAATCCGCTGAATAGGGAGCCTGGGGAGCACTATAGTGACCATCCCCTTTGCCATTTGGCAGAATTTTTTTTGGATTCCCTCCTTCAGTCTTTTCAAAAAGAGGGCCGTTAACAGTTTGTCTAGCTTGTATAAATTCATGGTGGACCCTAACTTCATTGTCGAAAAATGCAGTGAGTGTCACTTTTGTTTTGGATTTGACATGGCATTATTTCTTTGGTTGAGGAGAGGACACTGTGTGCCATTCTGCTGACTGCATCTTTTTCTCCGGCTACAGCCGAAAACATTGTGGATAAAAAAAAATGCAAGGCGAAAATGTTGTGGTACAAAACATCATAGGAGAAAAGAAGTGAAGAAAAAAGCATTGCGGTACAAAATATCGTGTTAGAAAATAAAGCAGTTAAAAAACTTCGCAGTTTAAAAATAAAGTGCCTTCAAATCATTGCATGATAATAGCATCGCACACATGCATTTTTCAAGTCTCATACTGACAGACTATTTAACTGACGTTCATCATAACTAGCAAATCAACATCCAAAAAATTGATTGCACCACTATACATGAAAATGTTAATGACACTTTAAGAATAAATGGAAACAAAACAAGATATAATTTTAACTAAAGCAATAACAGATTAACAAATGTGAAAGAAAATAATTTTATAATTAACTGAGCAATTTTTATACAGCTAACCTCATGCAATTATTTATCTCCTTTTTTCTAAGCATTTTTAGACTGTATTTTTCATAAAAAATATCACTCAAACTTTATATAAAAAAAAGCTTAATTTATTAATGGCCTTTGTTAATTAACTATGTAAATTTAAAATTCCGTTTACTTCTATAAGTTGCATTAATTTTCTACTCATTTTCAATTTTCAAATGTTTCTTAAGTTTTCTTCTTATGTTTTCAGCAAAAATTTATTAGTTCATTCAGAAATTTGAAATGTAAAAAAAAAAAAAAAAAAAAAAAAAAAAAAAAAAAAAAACTCCCTTTCCTTTTTATGCTCCCAAATCATTATTCAAACATGCATTTACAACTTTTAAAACCTGAAAATGCATGTGTGCGATCATGCAATGATTTGTAGGTACTTTATTTTTTACCACAATATTTTCAACGCCGATGTTTTTAAACTGCAAATTTTTAAAACAGCTTTATATTCAACCACGATGTTTTAGAACTGTGATGTTTTCTCTTTGCTTTCTTTTCTCCCATGATGTTTTGCACCACGACGGTTTTCCCTAAGCTTTGTTTTCTCCACGTGGTTTTTGTCCATGATGTTTTTCGGGTCATATGCATATACCCCATGTCTTGTCATCAGTAACAGTCGTCTCAAGAAATGTCAGCTCTTCTCTTCCAGGATTCCTGTCCACTCTGAAATCTTAAAAAACACTCATAAATGGCTCTTTCCTTTAAAGAATCATCACCATAACTTCTCTGAAAGGCTAACAAATTCTCTGAAGCAAATTTCCCTATTTTTCACATGAATTTGATGTTCGTACTTTGCTCGAAATTTGACATCTGGAAAAATTATTGCCACACCATCCTACCTCCAACTACACTGCCATCACACTGCCTGTTATGAATTCCAGCAGTAAATAAATATAGTGGTAGTAAAAAACTTAATTTTTTGTGATGATAAAGAGTTCTAGCAAAATTCGGGAACGTTTTGATTGCCCATTGTAGTTCAAAACTCCAAACAGCACACAATCCAACATCACGAGTTGTGCATTCACGCTGAATTAGCTTTTGGTGATTGTTAGCATTTGAACAAATAAACATCTTCAGTCTTTGAACAAAATAAACACCTTCTTTTATTTTCAGTAACAATTTTATATAATTTTGGGATATTCTGTCCAACAAAATGTAAAGGATTATTTTATGAATTTTTATGTATATTTTTTAATCCTTTTTTTCGAAATATTTCCATTAGCTGATGCTTTAAGTTGCATCAGAACTGTAACAATGGCATGCTTTTACCATTCGGTCTTTTGAATGACACTTTTGTATTAAAATCAGTCATATCCAAAAAAGCAAAAAACAGTTTTCGATACCATTTCACTGTTTTTCGAAACGCGGGAAAGTGCTGCAATATTGAGTCTCCGTTATCAGCTCTTCCCATATTTTTGTTGCAGCTTATTCTATTTTAAGGATGTCTTCTGCTGTCTTTTTTTCCAGATGTCATTACATTTGTGTTGTGGATTGTTGTAAGTTATTTTCTTTTTTCTGATCTTTGAAGAAGATGAAATTACCATATTTGACGGCATATAAGACACACTTTTTTTCCTAATTTTGGTCTCAAAAAAGTTACCTGTGTCTTATACGTGACAGTAATTGCATCAATAATTGTTTATTTGGCTTTTACAAAACGTGAGAATTAAAAGAAACCATGCTATTGAAACTTTTTTGCCTTGTATGTGGCCATCAAAATAAGGGTGCGTCTTATATGCCGTCAAATATGGTAATTGAATTTTTTTATTTGCCAGTTTTTTTTTTTCAGAATTGATTGGGATGTATTTCGGCATGCCTTTCTGAATTTTCATTTTGGTACAACAAATGTTAGTTTTAATTTTCTGCAGGAAGCTAGCCAGTTGCAGTGACAATGCTCCAGTCATTAGTCAATTAACGGATAGCAAACTTTGTAGTATCATTTAAATTCCAGAAAGTATCATTATCGATAATGAGAAAAGTGACAAAGAGATTGTTGAGAATGAAGAGTTCTGCAGTCTGTTTAGTGGGAATTCTAGGCAAGGCAGTTAAGTAACTTGGGGGGGGGGAAGCTTAACAACTTACATTGAAATAAATGTTTAAAGGAACAATATTAGTGTTAACATTGAGCTTTTTTAGTAAATTTTGGTTCGCTTAAGGTCATAAAAATGCTTTATAATATCTCAAACAACCATTTCATGTCTGTGCTTTTATATTTTCTACTAGTCATCACAAGAGATTTAAATTCAGGAATTGCCAAAATCCCAGCTATTTTGGGTCTCAAATTTACTGATGTATGTAAAGCTAATTTTAAAAAAAAGCATCCTCAGTTTAGCTGAAATTTTGAATAAAATTATTAACTTTGGGGGCAATATTTTGCTCTTGAAGAAGAAGGACCTATTTCTGATTAATCTCCAAATGTATTGATTTTATTCAAAATCTGTAACAAAATATAAATTTTATGTTAGTGTGTTTCTCTTTCAAATATGATTAAGAAAGTTCTGTATTTATCTTTAAATGCAGAAGCAAATTATTCCATTAATGAAGTTATTTAGCATATTCTGCATGTGCATCAGAGCTCTCTTTTTATAATAAACTAATAAACTTTGATGATGTATCTGCAAATTTTCTGTTTTAGATAAATCATTACAATCGATTATCTTTGTAAATTATTGAGTGCATGTGATTAATATATGTAAAGATTTTATTTATCCACAGCTTTTCAGACATTGAGTTTCAACTTAAATGCACATTGTAGCTAATTTGTGTACATTCTACATAGTGAGCAAGTTTTTTGCATCACGAATGAATAGGGATAGATTTTTGAAACCAGCCTTGAAGAAGTCATTCCAGTATTAAAAATGTGACAACAGAAAATAAAAATTTTAAAAAAAAAAAACCTCTTTTAATGACCCCAAATCTTTAAATCGTCATTTTTTGTAAGCTGCTAGTGGTATTATTAATCCATCTCTGCATGTATGGAATAGAATGGTGAGAATTTAGTATAGAGATTTAATTTTGAGCAAATAATATTGCTGGAATATTTGAATTAGTCTATTTATTTTTTACCTGTTTCTTCTTTTATCATTTTAAGAGGATAAAAATAACGTTGGCATTAATTTCACTGGTGGGTATGTAATTTTATTACACAAAACACTTTAATGCATTTTTACAAAAGAGTTCTTTACTTTCTCAAGAAAATTCCATGTTATTTATCCCCTTTTTCCTTGAATTTGTTTTGACTTTTTGTTTGTTTATAAATGTGTTTTAAAAACAATAGTTTTGCATTAAATAAATTTTCATTAAATAATTCTTAATTTATCCCTAAGGACCAGCCTTACACTCAGCAAAATGGGCTTTAGGCTTAGTGTTAAAAATCACAAGGTTCGTTATTCGTCTAAAAACAATTAAATACAGGAAAGAGGAAAATATAAACAAAACCAGGCATGAAGTTTTCCTCGTTTTCACAGAATTCTGCTTTTTTGAACGTCACCCGGGCTGTTTCTGAGATCAATAAGAACGTTGAAAATCCGACCGGCGTGGGGGGGGGTAAACAGGACACTTCTTTATTCCTCTTTTCTTCGTAAAAAAACTTTACGTCATGCCAGAGATCACGAAATACGTTGTTTCACATCAAGACGAAGTAGGTGGGGCTTATGTGGAAAGGCGGAACTAGATGCGCAGGATATCGAATCAAAGAAGAGCAACCAACCGTAAAACAAGAGCTGACTTCAATAATTTCAGCCATCAGTGCTGGTGCCATCTGTCGGACATAAGGATAACCACATGCATTCTCCAGTACACAAAACTCCATGTAAAAATTTAAGGAATGCTCATAAACTGTACAAAGAAGAGCTAGAGATTAAAAAGGAGGAGCGAGAATCTAAAAAAAAAAAGCAATTAAACATTGCAGAAAATAAAGAAGAAAATAAAAAAGTATCAATGGATTGTATGAAAGCTGCTGAAAAGAAATCGAGACAAACTCGCAAACGGAAATTAAAAAAGTTGGCTGCAAAAGTAGCAAAAAAGAAAAAGCTTTTTCCCTAAAAATTTTTAATCAGGATCGAGTGAGACTGAGACAAAATAGCTATTTTTTTGTATTCCTCCTTTAACTATGTTATTTTGTAACTATATTATCTCATATGACTACTTTTTCTGGTGTTATACAAAGTACTGTTTATTGAAGATAATTGAGAGCTATAGTAACAGTTATATATTATCTCTAAAACTTGTTATTGCCTGAAAATGGGCAGTAATATATAACATAAATATGTATATTAGTGTGTTGTAATGCTGTGTACAGTATTCATGTATCAACTGTTAAATTAAGTTACATAAATAGCATCTTAAAGAAGGTTAATTCATTACAATCTCTTGGTGATTTATTATTTTTTTTTTTTTTTTTTTTTTACAAGATAAAATTAATAGCAAAATAGTAAGTACAAGTATTATTTTAGTTTAATTATATGTATATGTTTAATACTTTTTATATTAAAATGTGTTTTTTTTTTTTTTTGAGGTCGCGCGTGCGCAATTAGTTTTTGTGTAATTTTGTGTCCGCGCGTTATTCAGCTTTTTTTGCCAACTGCACTTAATGCGCAAACCAAAACTGAATAACCTCAAATTTCTAATCTTAATCTAGACTTAGGTGTGCATTTCGGATATTCTATTATATGTCAATTTTATGATTTAATATAAGTCAATTCAAAATCTGATAGGCTATTTATCATTGTGTTGTAGCCTCAAGTGTGTTTCATGCCTTGATAATTAAAGAAAAGTTAAGGAAGTAGTTTCTTGTTTACTGTATTTTGATCTGTTTACTATGTATTCTTCTCTGTCATAGCATGCTTTTCATTTTATCTACTTCATCAAATAAGGTTTTCATATTTAAATTTTAATTATTGCTTACTAACATTATTAAATATTTAGAGAGCATCTCAAATCAGACCTGTTCCTTTTACTGGTGATTCATCTGATTCTTCTGACAATGAAGAAACAAGAGTGACAATGACTACAACTTCATCACAGACTACTAGTGGTGACACAGAATCATCTACTTCTCTTACTGTTGGTATTGGTGAGAATAGCCCTGTTGAAAAAAAGCATATTTTGTATCACAGGGTATCCTCCATTCCTTCCCCTCCACCACATGCTTCACCAGTTTCTCTTTCTCGGTGCCATGGATCTGGAATGTCTCCTATGAAGGCAGCCCATAGAGGTAATGCCTAAGCTGGAACATAATTCGTTTGCCTTTTAAGGGAGTAAAAGTATATTATGAGCATTATAAATTTGCTGATTATAGGTCTTTATGCTGTCACTACTGAAGTGCTGTTTTTAATTAACTTTTTGTTGCCTAATTGGGTAAATAGCTTTCGAGCATTCAAAAATGAGAAAAGAAGTGAGGAGACAACAGTATGGGTTTTTTATAGTAGAAATTATATGTATTTGGGCTTTCATGGCAGGAAAACGTGAATTAGTAAGCATTTCGGGAGTGGGAATAGGCTCTTAATTCGTTACACCAAAGCACTTACAAGCTTTATCCATAGAGATGGATGACTTTCTATGTGGAAGACCAGTTAATGTTAATATTACACATACGGACATTTCTGGAAGCCTCATGCAGCCAATCTTAATTTTCCTCTGTTTAGCCACATTGGGCCTTGGAATGTATCGTGACATTATATAGAAAAAAGAATGAAATTTACTTCTTATAGTCAGAGTAAACAAATCTGTTTTATGATTGGGGGAAATGGAAAGTTGTAATCTGTCACTCATTAAAAGACATGAGAATATAATGTTAAATTAGTTTGTTAAAAAATATTCTTTAAAAGTAAGCATTATGGTCATACTTATGTAATGTATTATTCAAGGTAAGAAGTTCGAATCGTAAATGTAGTGATGAAAATGCATAATTACTGTTTTAGCTAAGCTGGTAATTTATATGAGTTCAGAAGTATCTATATTTTTGTAATTTTAGCTCTCTGATAGGAATCTAGCTTAGTTTCCTTGTAATGTTTTAACTAGCAGTTACATAATCTGAAATAAAAAGCAATTTTGAGGTACAAACAAAAAAATTTGCTAAGAACAATTTTCAAGTTTTAAAAAATTGTTTAACATGTTATTTGTTTAGATGTTAGAGTATTTTTTTATAAAATGTTTTTGCAATTTAACACTTGGCATGCAGGCAACGTATTTTTACATTTTTCGCAGTCTGTAACTGGAGCCATGGGTCACGTAAAAATACATATGGCATGCGGGTAACGTATTTTTACATTTTGAGCAATCAGTCACATAAAAATACGTATTTAGTAGATTTGTGGTGGATACCCGCTAACCACAACAAATCTAGACACTGTATGGGTGTTGTTTGCGTTGCTAGGCAACGCTTTGCATTTTTTCTCTCAACAAGTTACGATTGGTTGAGTTACTTGTTCTTTTGTTGAGTTATTTCGTCTTTAATCGAATTCTTAGCTCCAGAACATACAAGTGTTTTGTCAATTTGAAGCTTGGTTTTTTATTATTGATTAAATAAATTGATAAAATGAACTGTTTTGACAAAGATAGTGATGAAGAAATATGCGCTGACAGATTATCGGACTTTTCGTATGATAGTGATTCTGAAAGTCAAGATATCGAAGAAAGTGACGATGATATTATTCCATGTTCTCGAGTGTTCGTCTGAAGAAGAATTTCTAGTAGTTCTGAAACAACTTCTGATGAAGAAGCAGATGAATGGTCATCGATTGACAATCCTCCAGACCTTGAAGAGTTTTTGGGTCATCCTGGTCTAACTAACATGGCTAATGTTTCTGAATCCACAGCTGATGCAGTAAAGTTATTTATAGGCGATGACTTTTTTGCATATTTAGTCGCAGAATCAAACAGGTATTATTATAAAAATATGTATCAGTTCAAAATATCTCCCAAAAGCATGAAATGGAGAGATATTAAGATTACGGAGATAAAGATATTTTTGGGGCGTATTATTTTCATGGGACAAGTTCGTAAAGACGCCTGAGACGATTATTGGTCAACTGATGTCTGCACAAGTACACCGTTTTTTTTTTTCAAAAACTATGTCAAGGGATAGATTTTGCCAAATATGGAAGGCTTGGCATTTCAGTAACAATGAAGATATCGCGGATGATTCTGATCGATTATTCAAATTCACTCAAAATTTAGTATAGACTAAATTATTTTGTTGAAAAATTCAATAACATTTACAAACTGAAACAACAAGTATCATTAGATGAGGGCATAATACCTTGGAGAGGATGATTGTTTTTTAAAGTTTACAGCGCTGGAAAAATTATAAAATACGGCATACTATACAAATATTGTCTGAAAATGACATTGGTTATATTTGCAATTTTGAAGTTTAGGCAGCTCAAGGATTACGTTTAATCAAAACAATACTCACAGTAGTTTCGCCATGTACTGATGTCTGGCACCATTTGTACATGGACAATTACTACAACAGCATTGATAACACAGAAGCCCTTTTACCAAAATATATATATATATGAATTTGCTTAACAATTAGGAAGAATAGAGGTCTACCAGAGTGCCTGAAAAAAACTAATTTGGAAAAAAGAGAAACAATCTTTTGAAGAAAAAATGATATATTGGTACAAGTTTGACAATCCAAGAAAGAAGTCAGTCTCATCTCTTCAGTCCATTCTGCGGAAATGAAAGAAAGTAGTAATGTTGATCATATCAAGAGACAAAAAATTATAAAGCCAAATGCTTTGACTAACTACAACAAGTACATGAAAGGAGTAGATTGGGCCGATAAGTATTTGTCCTACTATAGTATTTTGCGTAAAACAGTGAAGTGGACAAAGCGCTTAGCTATGTATATGATGAATTGTGCATTTTTCAATGCATATGTAGTATACAGTTCGACAAAGATGCAAAAAATAAAATACAAGAAATTTTTGCACGACATTGAGTTACTGATGAACTACCTGAAATCAGCACTGAAGGACCAGAGCAAATGATATCAAAATGCAACCCTCCTGGAAGATTGTCCATGGCTATGCGCAAACACATATTGGAGAAAATTGTTGGTGCCAAGAAGAAGAAAATCCACAAAGACAATGTCACATGTGCGCAGTAAAAAAAGTGCAAAGTGAACCGTGTTTCATATGTAGCTTCTGCCGTGTTCCTCTTCATAGAGGAAAATGCTTTGAACGGTACCATACTCTAAAGAACTATTAACGTGTTATCAGTTCTATTTGTACTTGTTATGAAAAAATATTTTTGAATACATTGTAAAATTTTAAAAAATCGTTTATTTTGTGATTTCAAATTTTTTTTTTTTTTTTTTGTTAAATAATCATACAGTATATATTTAGGTGTAAAATAAAAAAAAAGTTTCGTTCATAAAACTGAAGTAGTTTTCGATTTACTGCGATTTTCCTGAATAACGATACTATTGCGCGATTCACGAAAAAGCGTCCGCTGCACGCATAAGTTCGCGGTGAAGTATATCTGCATGCCAAGGGTTAAAATGAAAGCATCAAGGCAAAATTACATGAGGTGTAGATTTTTCTTTTCTATTCTTCAGTAATACTTCATAATTCATTCATTCTATTTCCTTTTCTTCAGTAAAAATATTGCTTTTTTGACATGAACATACAAGTATTTGAAAAGAAGGAACAAGAGAAAAAAAAAATGTTTTAATCATGTTGTGATCAGAGACAGATTAAATGACAAGTTATAAAATAGATATGATGCTTGACCTGATATGACATGTTGTTATCAAATGACAACATCATATCTTATTTTGTTTTTCTGTTTTAAAGTAAATTGCTAATTCTGATGAAGATCTTCACTTTAAAGTCGATTGCTATTAACTATAGTCAAAATTTTACGAGCATTTAAGTCTGTGTCAGCCAACATTTACTTAAAATTCCATGTTTATATATATATATATATATATATTTCTTAAGTCCAAGGTCTTGTAGTGGTCCCTCACACACATGGACAGATTTAAAAATCCATTAAGAGTTCCTTTCCCAGCCTTAAATAAAAGCTTAATTTTTTAATACAGTCAAATACTGAAAATCCGCTGACCTGAAATCCTCGAACTCCTGACATCTGCATTGCCTCTCAAAATATAAACATTCAGTTTATAAGTTCTATAAACCACAACATTGAGTACGAAATATCGAAAAAAAAAATACTTACCAAATAATGACATCATAATTACTGAATAATAATGAGTCATAACAGGAATACCAAATCATTGACATCATGATAAAAGTTTTTTCCCCTCTAATCTGCATCGAGGTAAGAAAGCAGACGACTCACTCAACTCTTCTTTCAAGTTCACGATTCACGTTGTTATATTTTCTGAGCTTTGTTATTTCACAAGATTATTTAGTTCTGCCTTTTTTTTATCCAGATATTTTGTGGATAAATTAAGAATATTTTTAACTTCAGCCGTTTTTAATACAATTACAGATAAGAAATGCACTCGTGATTTTACTGCTTGCAACGTTGAAAAACGTAAACACATTGCGTTGACAGTAATGCAAATTTTGCAAAAGATGGAGACAGGTGCATTTTATAGCAGAATCGTATGGAATTGCAATACGATTGTGTATGATATACGGAAAAATAAAGAAAAGCTGTTGAAATTTTATGGCAACAGTGATTCTTAACACCGGAATCTGAAACCGGAAATTTTTGCATGAGGCGAAATCGGCAAATCTCAATGCTGTGTATATATAATACAATGAATAATATAATCAATTTATATATGTAATAATAATTTAACGCATATAATAAGTTATTGCAATAATCTATATAATAATTTAATTAAATGTATCTAATACGCCTTATTTATTTTGCACTTTTAGTCTGAATATTATGATTTATCTTTTCTGTCCTGAAATCCGCACAACCTCTGGTCCCAAGCTTTGCAGATTTCTGGACTTCTACTGTATTATAATTTTGGTATTTTTTTTAGCATTTTAAACAAACTTCTGGTATTTTGAGCAGGTCACATGGTTAACAAATGAAAAATTACTAATAAATCTTTAACTGGAGATCAAGAGAGAATTTTTGTCTCATACATCATACCTACTTTCAAACATTCATACTCAAATGTGATTCAGGTGGCTCTTAGAATTTATGCCACTAAAATATATGTAAATATGTAAAATTGGGCATTCACTAAATGTTTTCATAAATTTGTTGAGGCTGCTTCCGGATAGACACACGCAAACGATGCAGGATTTCGATGTAGATTTCTTTGTTCACAGTTCATCCTTCAGGAATAAATTCAAGATGCACAGTGCCATGGATATCAAAGAATACCTCTAGCAGGACCTTTCCTTTAGAGCGATTTTGGCAAAATTTCTGCATCTGTGGAGATTGTGGTTATTTCCACGTTGCCGATGCTCTCTTGGTTTGTGGGTCGTACAAAAAACACCATTTCTCATCTCCAGTAACAGTTCTGCCAAGTAGGCAAGGATCTTTGTCAACAGCCAAAATTAAGTCTCCCGCTATTTCCACTTGAATTCCCTTTTGGTCTACATTTAACATGCAGGGAACGATGTGTTGATGCACGTTATGCATATTAAAATCCTTAGTCAGTATATCTGCAGACATGTGGCGTCTGATATACCAACTGATTCTGCTATTTGGCAAATTATTTGCTGCCTGTTCGCACGTACCACCGCAGACACCTTTTTGATGTTTTCATCGGTTCACGAAGTCACAAGACGGCCACAGCGTTCGTTGTCTTCGGCACTTTCCTGAAACGATGATGCCACTCAAAAGCTTGTATTCTTGATAATGTTTCACTTCCATACACATGCTTCAACGTTTCATCAGTGTCCATAGCACTCTTTTCCAAGCAAACAGAAAGTTTGATATTGATTCGCTGTTCAACTCATGCCATTTCTTTCTATCGCCGGTTACTAAGTGCATCTGCCTACAAAAAATGCTATTGCCATGAGCTTTCGACCACGTGATTTGAGACAAAACACTTTTAGAAAAGGGGTAGAATGTAGTAACACAAAAATGTTCTTGTAATCGCACTACTGCAAAACATTTTTATGTTATAGACTCAGTCCGGGAACTTTTGACTCCTGCAATGTATATGTGTATGTGTGTGTGTGTCTGTATTGTGACATCAGGTCATGTATTGAAAGTTAAGCATCACATCAAATTGAATTAAGAACAAATCAGATTTTTACATTTATATGCCTAATATAAGACTCAGTATTTATGCTACTCAATTAATATAAATAGAAGTTGAAATTTTAATGTGTTTAATGGATGAAGATATTGTTTCATACAGGTTCAGTTGCTGAGAAAATTGTGTGGTTGCATGAGTTTTTCTATATCTTCCTCTCAAAGTAACATTAAATATTATCCAGGTCTTGTTAGAACTTCTTCATTAAAGTCAATCCTTCCAAGAGACATGCTGGTTAATTGACAGAAAGTATTTCATGCTAGTTCTTTCACATGCTTACTTTAACAATATACAATTATGGCCATCATCCATGTGTATAAATATAATTAATTTTAATTGAATGAAAATCCATGAATAGTGAAGGATTCTTAAGGTTCATATACTTTAAATAAAAAAAAAAAAAAGAAAAAGAAAAAAACTAATACATTTTGTTTCAATGCTGAGATATATTTTACAAATGCCACAGTAATTTTTTTAAAGTATTATGAATTTTTTTTTTAATTAATTGTTAGAATTATTTAATAACTCAAGCTTGAGTGTTGTGCTTTTCAGAAAAAATGCAAATTATATTTTCTTACTTATGTTATTATGGTAGAAGTATGTAAACTTTTTTTCTGAAATTTGTTGTGTATGAAATGTTTCTCCTCCTTTTATTTACTTGTGTATGCATCTTGTTTTTAGAAATGTCAAATGAGTCTGTTCTATCAGATGATTATGCTGTTCCTCCTGATGCTGTTTCTGTAGATGCTGTTAGCATTATTTCTACTGACAATCGTCCAAGTCTAACTAATACACCAACATTTTGCTATAAAACATTGAGTTCAGATGATGCAAGGAAAAAGGTACTTGTAAAATATTTTAGCATGCAGTTTCAAATTAAGCTGAGATTTCATTGCATTCAAATGAGATAGGAAGCTCTGAAATCTTAACAATTATGAAGGTTTTGAAGTCAATGAAACTTTTCTTGTTGCATGTATCACTTTGCTTCTTTTTTGTATCTGCAATTACTTCAAGTTAGTACTTTAAGATTCTTGTTGTTTTATTTAGTAAAGTTCAGCTATGTAAAGTACATGCTTTTAGTTTCCTTTTTGTATAGTTATTTAAATGCTATTCACAAAATAGATATGCTTCTTATTTTTAATAATATCGTTTTGATTGTTAACATTTTTAGTATTTGTATCTGTGTGTAGATTTGTGGTTTCTAAGTTCACAGTGCATTTTAATTTGTATATTTTGTATTCTTGTTTCTGCAATGTTGCGTTCTGCATTAATTGTTTTGAATCATAAACATATTTTATAATTATATGTATGCATACTATTTCTAAAAATTTAATAAGTGATGCTTAATGCATGTTTTCAAGCTCACTTTTATACATGACTTTTATATAAAACTCACTTATACACTTTATACATGAAGAATAGTGTAAATTATGCAATAAATTTAAGCATTCATTAATGTTTGATATAAATTCTGAAAATCTATTTTTAAACGCTGTTAATTCTTTCAGCAGAATTCATAAAAACATCAATTTTGTTCTTGTATAGTGTGTTAATTGGATTGAAAAATATTTCATCTGTTGCAGAATAATTTTTGATAGAACAATATTTGCACAATGTTTAAATCTTGAAATTTTATTAAGAAACAATTTCACATAAATCAGTCATTTTAACCAACCTTAAAAAGTCTTGCATTTGGAAGTATTCAGTATTTATTGAATTTTTAGTTGTAAGTATACTCTTAGACCATATTTTCTAGATATTCACATGTTTTCAGATATATTTTGTCTTGGGTACATTTTGTATCATATTTATCAATCGGTTAAAGTTTCCGATTTTGTAAAATAAATGTGATTGTTTTGGGGAATAATCAAAAACTTTGTCCTATTGTCAATCCTAAACCATACTGTGAACTGATTTATTGAATAAAATCTGCTCTTTGCTGCTAATTCAAATTATCGGGCTTAAACTATGTAAACAAAAATGTTAAAATGGATGTAATTAATTATAGATTTGATTACTATAAAATATTATTAAAAATTAATGTAGAATTTCTTTTTCATGCTCAGGAACCTTTGGAAAAAAGTGGGTACCTCACAAAATTAGGTGGAAAGTTTAAAACATGGAGAAGGAGATGGTTTGTGTTAAAAAATGGAGCACTTAGTTATTATAAATCACAGGTAAAACATTTTGTTTATTTTTCAACATTGTTTAAAAACATTATCTCTGTTAAAAGACCCTTCCTAAAAACTGAGTTTAAAAAAGTCTTATCTCTAGAGTCTTTTCCTGTAAGTTTTGGAAAACATCCGTTATGTGCGTTATTTTTAGTCACCCCCTAGAATAAATGAAGTAGCATATGACTTTTTTTAAATAGGCTGATGTAAACAGAAAACCTCAAGGACAAATTGTGCTTGATAACGTGTGTCGCGTAAATCGAGCTGAAGGTGCTGCTACCTTTGAGGTAATTTCTGTCAGATTTGCTTTTAATTTTGCTTTACATATCCTTTCGATTAACTGTAAAGTTGATACCTTTATTTTAGATATCAACAGGTAAGAGGATATACTATTTGACAGCTGACTCAATAGTTATGATGGAAGAATGGATTAAAGGTATAAATTATGTTTTTTCCATGTACTTTTTTATGTAATGTCTTTTCTGTGTAAATTGTGTGTATATGCTTCATAAAGTGTAATTTAAAAATTTACATGCTTTGATACTTTGGATATACAGTCAAAAGTCTTTAATCGGGACTCGGTGGGACTTCGGCGATTCCGGATTATCGATTTTTCCGGGTTATAGATCATCAGTTTAAATCTGGTAAGAAGGCATGCAGAAATTATAAAATTAAACATATGAAACCATAATTTATGAAATAAAGAGCAATTATGATCTAAAGGGTATCAAAATTTACAAAAAAACAAAAAAAAAAAAAAAAAAAAAAAAACCTTAATATTTATTTGTTTACTTTATTAAACATTTCTTTCAATGTGCACATGTGTAAAGCATACATTACGCATAGTCGAAATTAGAAAATTGCTACCAGAAAACTATTTGATGTGTACTCGTGATATTTATAATGACGAGGAGTTTGATTTAAATCATATCAAAGATGGAATACATCGAGATGAAATACTAGATTTAGTAAGGAATTATAAGCCGAATAAAACAAAAACATCCGCCCTGGAGATAAGGATAGTGCTGACAGATCAACTTCCAGTTCATTACGTGTCACGGCGTCCCCCCCCCCTGCAGAGCAGCATGAAATTGATAAACAGATTTCGGAATGGTTAGAGAAACAAAGAATATGCCTTTATCCATTTTTTGCAGCAATTCCACTTTTTGTTTGATGGATATCCAAACATACTTTCGCTTTGGCAGCTCCAGCATCGGAAATTCTATTTGACATAATTGAAAGTTCAAGCTTACTTTTTTAAAATTGCTCTAACAGTCTGTAAAAAATAATAAGCTGGATCCAGTTAGAAGATTAAGGAACAACGCAATCTGCAACATTAACTGAAATAGATAATTAGATAATTTTAGCTTATAATTAGATAATTTAGTCAAAATACCATCTGTTATACATTAAACGCACATGCGTAAACGTATTATGCACATGCATAAAAGTATTACACGCATTCGTGGATGCATTATGCGTTGACGTATCCGCAGAAAGTTTGCAGCTTTGAGGTCCGAATTATAGATCATTCCGGATTATCGGTGTCCAGATTAGCGACTTTTGACTGTAATACGTTTAATATGAAATGATAAAATTGATACAAGAGATGCTGAATTTTATGTTCTGGTTTTAGTGGATATATGTATATTTAATTCATACCATTCTGATTGATTCATAATTAGTGGAGGCTGGACTAGAAGAGAAACATGCTAATGTGACAATCAAAATCGTAAAAACAACCTTGTATTTAGCGTAAGTATATTCAAACACTCAATCGATTTCGAGGGCAGCTAAAGGTCCCTCCTCTTCAGGAGAACGAAATTACCTAGAAAGGGGAAAAGAAGAAAAACAAAGCATCGGCGAAGGAGTCTCAGAAACACGTGGTTCATTATCAGCACTGCACGTGGTTATAACTGGATTTTGAATCAGAGTTGCACTGGCTGCCTACTTTTACTGAGGCAGACTATCTGATCAAGCATATAAGGACATAGAATAAAACGCAGCGAAGTCAAAAAATAGGAAACGAGGGGCAAATGCACCTTTAAGCTCAAAATCTGAACTTCAAATAATGGAAAGCAACCACTGAACGGATTTTTATGCCCTCTGGTAGTACCAAACGCGAGGAGGTAACGCCATCTATCGGAGCCTTTTGGATAATTTTTGCAGACCCAAAGTCAAAATTATGATTAAATGTCCAACTATGATACGCTATTGAAGACTTGTTAAGTGAGTTAGCTATTGAAGACTTGTTAAGTGATTGAGTGTTTGAATATACTTACACTAAATTTAAGGTTGTTTTTACAATTTTGATAGTGGAGGCTGGTTGCCAGTCTGAAACTGAGGGCACAGGTTCTTTTTCTGAATAATATTTGGTATACCTTGGGACCTTGTATACCTTGAGACATGTTATTGATGATAAGCCTGTTAAATGGGAAATATTTTCTGCTTTAATACCTGATTTGCAAGTCCTTGGCTGTTGGATTAAAATAAAATTATTTATGACTAAGCTAATGGTTGCATCTAATAATTATTTCATATTTTTCTTTGATTTACTTCAGAATATTTAGTTTTTTATGGGAGGTGTTTTAGTGAACGTTTTTTCATTTTTTAATATCAGTCAGGAGTCTTTAATCTGGACGTCCATAATATGCGTTTACACATGCGCATAATACGTTTACGCATGCGCGTTTAATGTATGACAGACGGTATAACCTAAGCTAAAATTTTCTAATTATCTATTTCAGTTAATATTGCAGATTGCGTTGTTCCTTAATCTTCTAATTGGATCTGGCTTATTATTTTTTTCAGACTGTTAGAGCAATTTTGTAAAAGTAAGCTTGAACTTTCGATTATGTCAAAACGAATTTCCGATTCTGGAGCTGCCAAAGGATCTACAAAGCGAAAGCATGCTTTGATGTCCATCAAACGAAAAGTGAAATTCCTGCAAAAAGTGGATAAAGGCATATCCTTTGTTTCTCTAACCATTCCGAAATCTTTTTATCAATTTCACGCTGCTCTGCGGAAGGGGGGGGGGGGGGAACGTTGTGGCGCGCAATGAACTGGAAGTTGATCTGTCAGCACTATCCTTATCTTCAGGCCAGATGTTTTTATTTTATTCATCTTATAATTCCTTACTAAATGTAGTATTTCATCTCGATGTACTCCGTCTTTGATATGATTTAAATCAAATTCCTCGTCGTTATAAATATCACGAATATATATCAAATAGTTTTCTGGTTGCAGTTTTCTAATTTCGACTATGCGTAATGTATGCTTTACGCATGTGCGCATTGAAAGAAATGTTTGATAAAGTAAACAAAATAAATATTAAGCTTTTTTTTGTAAATTTTGATACCTTTTAGATCATAATTCCTCTTTATTTCATAAAATACGGTTTCATATTTTTAATTTTATAATTTCTGCATGCTATCTTACCAGATTTAAACTGATGATCTATAATCCGGAAAAACCGATAATCTGGAATCGCCAAAGTCCCGGCAAGTCCGGATTAAAGACTTTTGACTGTATTTGAATTTAAATGTAACAAAACCAAACGAATAGTGAAAAGTATACATTGTGTCTGAATTTCATTACAATAAATCAAAATCACAAAAATTAAGATACAGTGGAACCTCGAGATACGAGCATCTCTATACAAGAGAAACTGAGATATGAGGAAAGTATGAGCGAAAAATTTGTCTCTAAATATGAGCATTGACTTGAGCAATGAGTAAGCCAGGCTGCTGGTATGCGTGGCACCATTTCCCGATCCAACTCTACTTAAGGGAATCCCCTCATTAGATCACTTGGTGTTCTTTGATCTACATGTCTGTGCGCTCTGAGTCAATTGTTTATTTCATTTAATGTGAAAATAATTATTTCACGATGCCACTTAAGAAGATTGTTGCCTCAAATAGTGCTGCAAAGAAAATAAGGAACCCATGGCCATTGAAATTAACAAAGAAATCATAGATAAACAAGCATGGTGTAAGAGTGACAGAATTTGCAAAGACTTGGGGCCTTCCACCATCGACAATTTGCACTATTCTGAAGAAGCAGGAAGAAATTAAGAAACTTGATGTAGCCAAAGGAGTTACTTTCAAGCACCGTCCAGAACTAGAATATGCTGAGAAGCTGTTGTAGGTGTGGATTAACAAAAAAGTAGTTAAAAGGTCGGTTTCAGAAGCTATCATAAAGGTAAAGAATCAGACAGGACAGAAGATCATTCTGTTCTAGTTAACGATCCTAATTCCAATCCATCTTTGCCTTTGGCCTTTAAAGAAATTATGTTTTAATTCTGGTTTCATCAACAGATGGCAGCACTAGCTTATTTTCTGTGCAGGCTTTCTTATTGTTTATCTGATCATTATATCCTATCTTGTTAATTCGCGCTTTTGCAGAAAATATGCTGATTTTTGTTTGACTTCTGAATTAGTACAGTTATATTATTTACCAGTATTATTTATTTGAAAAATTAATTTTTATGTTGATAATTTTGGCAGTGCAAAACAGATGAACTGGATTTCCATTATTTTCAATGGGGAAGTTTGTTTCTAGATATAAGAAATTCGCTATATGAACTTAATGCTGGAACGAATTAAGCTCGTATCTCAAGGTTCCACTGTATTCTAATTGCGATTTTTATCCCTTGCTTCCTATTTCAAGTGAACTATAACCACTGACCAAGTGCAGTTCTTAAATAACAGAAATAAAAGTCCCATCAGTCACATGCAGAAGAAACCAATGAAAATCTAAAAATCCTCCCACAAAAAATACGATATGAAATATATAAGTGGAAATATTTATGGTGATTTAAAATAACTGGTACTACACATGGACTTTTTATGAAGTAATAAAGCATTTATGACCTCAAGGGAATTAAATTTTATACAGAAAAAGCTCAATATTTATTTGCTTTATTAGATGTTTCAGTGTAAGCCATTTAAGTTGCCTCTTTTTTTTTTTTTTTTTTTTCTCCACTGATACGTTCTCTTTAATTCTCTAGATGAACATAATTTCTTGTTTAGCTACAAAATTCCATTGTTCATGTCCTGTATTGACCATGTCAAGAATCCCCACTGAACTGCCAATAGATTTTCTTCCCCTCAAGTGCCTGTTTGTTACTTTCTTCACTGGTGGCAATATTTTCTGGATTTAGAGTCATGCCACTTATTTCGCCGTCCATTAGTGAACTGATGATTGGGGTATTATCACAATTAAAAACTTGTCATACCATCTGATTTCCTACCACTTCTCCACATCGCTTCACAAATGTGTTAATTGGAACATTTTGGTTTTTGTGTGCAATATCTAAAAACCTTCAAATTTGCAGCTATCATCATAAAACTGAGTTTGTGTCCACCATATACTATTGACAATATATTATGAGATTGCCAACTAAGAACATGTTCTACTATTCCACACTGATGAAGCTGTCTTAATTGTATTAGTTTAGTTATTTATTATACTTAAGACTATTTTCTGCACATGTTTAAGGATAATCTGAGTTCTGAATAAGTAAATTTCTACATATACTTATGGCTTATCCAGAGCTTGCACTAGACATTTTGCTGCTGAGTTCAGTTCCTGCAGGTCCTAAATTTTGCTGCCAAGTACCTCTCAAAATTGGAAAAAAAAAAAAAAAAAAAAATTGCAGTTCATTTTTTCCTTAAATTCCAAAGATTTTACCTTTCCTTCATTTTCTTGCTGAGTGCTTCTCTAAATTCTAAAAATTTTCCCATGCCTAAATTTTGCTGCCCAGGTGTGGCCACATTTCCGGCACTGGTCCTTTGCTTATCTGAGTAACAGATCAGTTATTTTTAATTCAAATAACACTTACTGTAATCTTTTTGCCTATGCGTATCATATAAAAAAATCTGTTTTTTGCATACGTGAAGAAATTTAACAGAAATTTCATCATATCAACACACTCAGCATTTTGCAGTGCAGTTAACTGAAGTCTGTAATCATCGCTAAATGTTATGTCAACATTAAAAGTTATCGGGTTTTTTAGTGTTCAGTTAGTAATATTTAAAAAACAAATTTTAGACTTAGCTCTGCAAGTGATTTCTCAAGCTGATGTGTGTTGATAGTCATGCGGTGATGAAAGCAAAAGATAATAAATAATGAATTGCCAAGCTGGTGTCATGGATATAAAAAACTATTCAGTAGATTAAAATCAATGGTGTTTTAATCTATTATGTTTTTATTTGAGATGCACACCAAGCAAAAGGGCATCTATGAAGCCAAATTATTAATCATACAGTTTTATGCTAATAAATGATTGTTTCTTTAGTATGAAGGTATTTTATTTAGTGGCTGAGTGAGATTGTGAATCGAGATTCTTCGCATATTCTATTATGAAAAAATATCAAATGTATTTTATGCTTTGTATTGTACTGTTCAGTATGAATAAGATTAAAACTAACTATAACATTTTAGCTAAAATAAAAAAAAATATATTTTATCTTTGTGTACTATTAATTATATCAGAGACTTGTGCATTTTGTAGTAGTCATAGTCACAAGATTTTCCACCTCATTTTACGAAGCCCAAAATACTTTTTTTGCACTAATATATATCTAGAGATTCTCAAAACTTTCTTATTTGTTGCTTTTAGATTTGTTGTAGTCTTTACTGGAACAGTTTCTTTCCTTTCTTCACTGTTTTCTTTTTTCTTTCTTTTTTTTTTTTTTTTTTTTTTTTTTTTTTTTTTAAGTTGATGTTCTTCAGTGTCTTTGTAAGCTAATTCCATTCAAATTGCATCATTGTTCATGACATATATAAAGGAAAAATGAGAAAAATGATGTATTTTTAAGAAGGTTGCAAGTTTTGTCAGTTTGACTCTCATTGTTTTAGGTAGCATCAGTTTTAAGATGTTTAGTTCTTTTATGCTTCCAAAAGCATGCATTTATTTGGAGATATTTTTCAGAGCAGAAGCAACACATAAAAAGCAATTTTACCATTAATTTTTAATCATTTCTTATTTTCCTATAGCAATTAAGATTTTTCGGATCATAAATTTTTGGTAATATGCTTCTTAAAGTTTTTAATAATGGTTTGGTACATTAAATGTATAGCTCTCATCTAGTGTGAGTTGTAAGACAATGAAGTGATAATAGTTTTAGAATTACATCAGTTATTAAAGACGTACAATTATTAAATGGAAGAATTTTGCTTTTTTTTCGTCAGATATTCTAATCTAGTAAAAATTTGTCAGGAAATTTTGGAGGCAAGGTCTTTATACTCAACTGCTAAATTTTCTTGCATCTCTTAAAAATGTCGTAGGTCTTTAACCCGTCAGTGGTTGTGAGATTAAGCAATTCTTTCTTCCCAAATACTTGCAATATCTGTTAGTCGTAGATTTGTAATGTCAGCTGGTTTGCTTTAAAAACATTGTGATGTGCAACTAAATGCTAGTTGAGCTTGTTCATGACCATCAAAAGGTGAAATGTAACAGTCATAAGTAGTTTCCCCTTTGACCCATTATTTGTATACGTCATCAATGTTAAGTGGATTTAAAAATTTTTTAACTCCTTCTTAGTGTCTTTTCTCTTTTTCTAGCAGTTTTGTTTGGCAGTAATTGACAATATATGAATTACAGAGGTTTGCCAAAAATATGTAAACACCAAAATAAAAACATACTGCTGTGACTAACAGTTTAAGAAAACCATTGGCATTCAAAACGGCTTGCAGTCTTCTTGGAATAGATAAATGGAGGTCTTGAATGCTTTGCAAGGGAATCTTGTACCATTCTTCCTGTAAAATGTTGGCTAGCTCATTTAACAATGATGGCAGTGGCTAGCGCTCATGCAGATTTCTCTCCAAAATAGCTCACGAAAATTGAATAATATTGATATCTGATGACTATGGTAAATGTGAAAATTCACCCTTATGCTCAGAAAACCACTCCTGGACTATGTGAGCTGAGTGAACAGGAGCTCTATCCTCTTGGAATATGGCATCACCATTGGAGAAAAAAATGTGTACCATCTGATGGATATGAACAGCCAGAATGATCACATAATCTTTGGCAGTAATCTAATCTTGCACAATAATGATGGATCTCATGGAATACGACAATATGGCTGGCCAAAACAAGACTGAACTCCCATCATGTTTCACTCTCAGCAGCAGACAATCTCTATTATATGCTTGGAACAGCATGCTCCAGACCTAAACTCTCCTAGAAGTTGGAAACAGTGTGAATCAAGACTCATCTGTTCAAATGACAGTCTTCCATTGCTCTAAAATCCAGGTTTTATTACTTAAGCACCACTTTATCCTCTTACAAGCATTTTGATCACTGATGAGTGGCTTTTGAATTGCAGCTCGCTCAGAAATACCATGCTTGTGAAGCATGTGCTATATTTTATTTTGGTGCTGGCAGGTTAACGAGTGCTACATTTCAGTGCTTACACTGTTCAGCAGTAACTTTTGGGGCTGTAGTCCTCTTATTTTTCATCACAATCGTCTTCAATAAGCATCGGTCATGATCACTCAACACACATTTTTGTCTGCACTATAATTTTAGTGGATACGGTTTTTCTGTATGAGTTAAAAATCATGGATACTGTGTCTCTTGAAACATCAAACACTTCAGCTACCTTGGTTACGGCAGCATCAACTATACAAGCCCCAACAATTTGCTTGTGTTCGAACTCATTTAGCTCTGACATGATGCATTCACAACTGCACAAAACGCTTTCTTGGTAATGAATGACGCTTGCAACATATTGAGGTTGCTGTACAAGTGGCATTAGTGAGCAAGCACATCAGTACCACCAGTAGCTTTTGCAAGAATAAACATTTCATTTCAAACATGCACTTTGCGAGGTGTTTCCATATTTTTCTCCAACCTCTGTAATGTCTTTAGCATTATAAATATAACATGCACCATGTCATGAAATTTTTGTGTAGATTTTAGTATTTTGCTTATTTCATCCACTGCACCATTTTTTAGACAAGCAGAAAAAATTGAGTTACGTGTTTCTCTCTAAACTGTTGCATTTAGCTATTGTTTTTTTTTTTTTTTTTTTTTTTAAATCATTTCTTATAAATTAAGTCCTTCTCTTTTAACAAAGTATATTAATTTGAACATTCATTTTCTAGTCTTTAAAAATCTCTGAAAAACTGCAGCTTCTGTCTAAATGTGAATGACATATAGAAATCTTTTCTTTCGGTGTTTAACAAGCCATCGCTCAAATTTCATATTGATTGTTTTCTGTTTTTTAGTTTTATGAATAGATATTTTGATGTAATTTCAAATGTTTACCACCACTTCAATTTTTTTTGTACCACCTTCCCTACTAATTTGATTTTGTCAAAATTTTTCCCTTAAAGTTTATATTTCAAGTTTATATAACACTGCTCAGCTTGGACCATTCAATGACAATAAGTAAACTATAAAATTTTAGTGTGCATTCCTAATTTACTTGAACAACTGAGAAGGCTGAAATTTTTTGTTTTTAGAAATCAGTGGGCGAAAAAAATGTATATGACCTTACAAGTTTCAGAATATTAATATCAGATTAAGGTGGGGTAATTAAACTATTTCCCATGACCTCTTTTTATGATTTCTTTTAAGATTCAGCAATCAGCAGATTTTAAGATGTTTCAAAAATGGTTAGAAGAGACAAAGCTCGTAAGATTTTTTAAAAAATAAGAAAGAGTTTGGTATATGTGATTTTTGAATTATATTCATACTGAGCAACTAAAATATGAATTATCATATCAAGTATTAGTAATCAAGAAAGCATGATTATATCTGTTGTTTCCTTCTATTAGGAATCCAGATTTAGCTGTTAGCATTTGTTCTGTGCTTTAAAGACCCGAAAGGGATATTTTTATAGTTCCAAATTCAGTGCTCTTAACACAGCTTACAAAATGCTTTTATATACTTTATAAATTTTATTGTATTTCTGTAGTTCTGCAAAATGTGCTTCGCCGAAATGCTACCCGCCTCTTGCTCTCCAAGGAAGATAATAAGCCTGCAGCTGAAGGATGGTTAACAAAGGTAATGATTGTTCTGTAAATTAAGCAAGCACAATATGTATTAAATAATGTTTTTCTGAAAATATGTATGAAATATCTTTTTTTTTTTTTTTTTTTAATTTGTAAGGATTATTCAGTTGTACTAGATTAAGAAAGTAAATATTAAGTGTAAAATATGTTACTTGCTTTAGGGGTCGTATTTTCAAAATGGCCGGTGATCTGACAACTCTGTACATATAACAGCTTTATGTATTTCAAACTGTGAGTTTCCGTAACTGAGGTCAGAGGAAAATGTAGGGAACTGGAAACCTGTAATATTTCTTCTGAAGATGTTACAAAAACCTAGATTTTTTAAATTTTAATTACAGAAAATAATATTTCGGGAAAAGGAAAAAAATATTTTTGAATAATAAGTAAATAATTTATGATACTAATATAACATGTGTTCTGTATCATATTGTAATTGGTTACATTTTTGCAGAAAATCATTTTATACATGTAATGGTGAGAATGATGAGCAGGTTTGTGGTGAGAGTCTACAGCACATGGAACACTAGTAGCAAGTTAACTTGCAAGTGGGATTCGCTGCAGCTGAACAATTTTGCCACTTTCGGGTTTCATTGATGTAATGTGTATACAGTCAAAAGTCGTTAATTCGGACACCCATAATCCGGACCTCAAAGCTACAAACTCTCTGCACATGCGTCGCATTGACGCGAATATGTGTGTGCGCATGCACAAAATACGTTTACGAATGTGTGTTTAATGTATAACGGACAGATAAGCTAAGCTAAAATTATCTAATTCAGTTAATGTTGCAGATTGCGTTGTTCCTTAATCTTCGAATTGGATCCGGCTTATTATTTTTTGCAGACTGTTAGAGCAATTTTATAAAAGTAAGCTTGAACTTTCGATTATGTCAAATAGAATTTCTGATATATATTTACTAATATGTAAAGGATCTACAAAGCGAAAGTATGTTTTGAAGTCCATTAAACAAAAAGTGGAATTGCTGCAAAAAATGGATAAAGGCATATCCTTTGTTTATCTAACCATTCCGAAATCTGTTTATCAATTTCACGCTGCTTTGCATGTGAGAAGGGGGGAACGTCATGGTGCGCAATGAACTGGAAGTTGATCTGTTAGCACTATCCTTATCTTCAGTGCAGATGTTTTTATTTTATTTGGCTTATAATTCCTTACTAAATGTAGTATTTCATCTCGATGTACTCTGTCTTTGATATGATTTAAATCAAATTTCTCATCATTATAATTCGCTTCCGATAGTGAAGAAAGTGACTCAGAGGTTATTGAAAACGAAAAAATTTCAGTTGAGAAATTAGTCGGTATTCTCGACACAGCAATTACAGGACTTGAACAGCGGAACTTTGTAACTGAAACAAGAAATTATGTCTGTTTATAGAATTAAAGAGAAAGTATTATCACATAGAAAACGAAGCAACTTAAACAACTTACATTGAAAGAAATGTTTAATAAGGTAAACAAATAAATATTAAGCTTTTTTTTTTGTAAATTTTGATACCCTTTAGATCATAATTGTTCTTTATTTCATAAATTATGGTTTCATATTTTTAACTTTATAATTTCTGCATGCCATCTTACCAGATTTAAACTAATGATCTATAATCCGGAAAAATCGATAATCCAGACGAGTCCGGATTAATGTCTTTTGACTGTACTTGTAATTTCAATAGGGATTGATTTTTTAGAGATGACTTTCTCAATGACTTTGTTCCCTAGACAGCCATCCCTCAAGTAGTTGCTGTAATAGAATACCCAAACTAACTTTAAGTTTGAAATTAAAATTGTATTTGAACCTGCCATTAGCAAAATATTTTTTAGATTTAGTTTCAGAGTTCTTGATTGAATCTTATCCGTTCCATAATAATTAAGCTTAATATCATTAAGTAACATAAATCATTTTGGCCTTTGTATAATAAGCAATTTATTGCAGAAGCTAATGTAATTAACTCCAATGCTAACATAAATCATTGTATTAATGAAATAGGAACATCAGATTTTAGTTAAGCGATTTTTGATCCAGTGCTGTATGTTAAATAATAACAGAAATTGTTTCATGTCCTTGTCATAAAATTAAAGTATAAAAGAGTATACATTTATCCTTGATGTTGACATGGCAAATGTTGCTTGACAACTGTTTCTGCATGCATTTGTTTAAATGCGATACTAGATAACAGAAGTTTTGTATGGATGTCATCTAATGAGTTATCTCATTTAAATTAGCTAGATGACAGAAGTATGCAAAAAAAAAAAAAAAAAAAAAAAAGGTTTCTGTTTCTTGAAGACATTTTTTTCTCATTACTATGACTGATTAAAAAAAAAAATTGAAACATTGACTATGCAACAATGATCAGGTTAAAGACATGCTACAATCAAGTAGTGTAACTGTTGCAGAATTATTAAAAAATTATCTGTTTTAAGTGACAATTTTTAGGAGGATATTTAAGAAGAAAAAGTATTATACATTTGTATTTGGATGGCTGCAGTCCATGAAAATTATTATTCACTTTCAAATAATTTGCATCTTTTTTTAAAAAAAATCCATTCAAAAATGTTTTAATTAAATGCACTAATAAGTAAAAAAAAATATCTGGGTAGCCTAACAGTCTTAGCCATAGGTGGTCAAAAATAAAATTGTGGCACTGCTAACAATGATAAATTTTAAATAATTGTGAAAAAAAAAATTAATTGAATGAATGCATTCTTATATATCTGCCATTTTTGTGTCATCCATTTTGTTCCAGCTTAAAATTTTATTAATTATCCCAATTGTTCCATGGCTGCTTCATGATCATATTTTCAATCATATATAACCAAGAATGTTATGACAGCCAAAAACTTTTTTTTTAAACTTTTTAGTGCATTTTATTAAAACTGTGAAATTAACATTGTTTTTGTCAGCATGCAGAAGCTTGACTATCCAGAGAGCTAAGGAATTTCCAAATTCCAAGTAAGCAAAAATCCGAGGTAACTGAGCAAATAAAAAATGCAGATAGTTCACACTAGAAAAGCGAAATAAATGGGAAAAAAATTCCAGTTTAAAATTATAAAAGAATCATTTTATTTATAAACTTCAATCATTTAAATTATGAAAGATATTAAAAGAAATAGGCTATTACAGACATAAATGCTAAAATGAAACATCAAATATGAAATTCCATCGAAAAATTCGAATTTCGAATTCCATGAAAATTGGCGATGATCTCGTCAATTTTGAATTAGTTATACCAGCAGAAGTTTAAAGGAATAAATTTATTTAGTTAATCAGCATAACATATAAAAAGACTTTTGCATATTGCACAGACAATGCTGATGCATTTTTTCGTAAGTGACACTTTTTTTTTTTTTTGGTGTCAGGATTCCATATATTTGAAATACTCTACTGCATGCTGCTTCCTTGAAGAAAAGTCCCAAATTTTAATAATTGTCTCAAAATGTGGTTAAAAACAGATAATGAGCAGTTTACTTACAGCATTTTTTACAAAAATTAAACCAACTTATCAAGAAATATTCGGGTTTACATAAAGCAAAAGTGTTAGGTCATGCTTATTCGTTATTGGTGCTAAATTGCAAAGTTTGGCAACAGTTTTTGTTTGGTTCGAATTGTTGTCCTGTTCATACTTTATAACAGAGTTATGAATCTCTTATTTCATTAATTCTGTGTTAATTTTTTTTTTTTTTAATTCGAAAATATTGTAGCTGCTTGAGCTGAATGCCAGATATTCAGACTTTTACTGTATTTCATTATATGCAAAGTTCACAGAAAGGCAGGATAATAATAAAGAATATTACTAGAATGTCAAGAAAATTATATTTTCTGGCCAGCCTAGCAGCAAAATGCATGGCTGATTATTCTGATTTAAATAATCATCATTTCTAGAAGGTATAATTATTTGCAGCCCATTGATTGATTTTAGAAAAATCACCAAAAGTAACATTAGACATTAGACATTAGATAACATTAGACATTCTGAGCAAACTTCATTTGGAAGGTTGTCTTCTGATTTATCTGATGGTGTAAAGGAAGAAAACTCTGTGATGATTACTTTGATATTTAAGCAAGAATTTGAAAAACTACTTACTATATGAAAAGGTTGTTTCAGCATTGAATGAGAAAAAATTAACCAGATTTTGAAAAAATCAAAATATTCTTTTGTATTTTGACCTCAGATATGTAAATAAGCACATTTTCAACAAAGTAGATTGTACAGAAGTGGTCAAAATTGATTTGAAGATTTGATTCAAACTATCAAATGTGTAAATCAATCATGCATGATGAAACACACAATATGTAACTGAAAAACAATTTATATTATTTTTAATTTAATTCATCTACTTTCTCTTTCTGTGTTTTAAAAACGCAAAATTATTGAAGCAGTACTGAATTCTTTCATATCAGGATAACAATTTGATGACTCAAATATTGCATTCAAATTTGTAGCTATTTAACCTCTTAGAAGTATGAGAAAATAAAAAAAATTTTGACTCGGTGGCTGCCCCCTAAGGTTGTACTTCTAACAATAGCAACAGGTGAAAGTTAGCCGATCTTATCCTTGAGTGTGGCCAGTGAAATTCGAGTTTGTTCAGTTTGTATGGAAATCCAACTATACTTAAGCAGCATATATTTTGAAAATTGTCAAATGCAAATGATTTAATATTTTGATGGCTACATAAAAATTAACTCATAGTTTTATTTCCAAAAATTTTAGGGCACTAGTACCTCTGCTTTGATACCATGTCATTATTTACATAAGAAAATTGGAATTGTGATTTGATACCGTGTCATTATTTACATAAGAAAATTGGAAACTTGTGTCTTAAACTGGTATTGTTTTCCCGGTATTAAAAAAATATTTTCAATATTTCAGTTAGCATAAATTTCTGAATAATTCCCTCTTCCCTGATTTGGCATTCAAGTACTACTAATTTTTATTTGGAGGGAAAAGCTAAACTTTAAACAACAAATAAATTTTCGTACTTGATTAGCATATAGTATTTCTTCATTTATAATTAAAAAGCTGTTTCTCCTCATTTTATTTGTTAAATCATTTAGGGTTAAAGAGCTTAATAGTTTTGCTGAAAACACAGCAATATTGTATCATGGTATTATACAAACTGTATTAAGCTTTTATGTACAATTAGAAGTTCTGAAGAAAACTCACTAATTAATTGGAGTGTTTATTTCTTATATTGCAGGTTAAGCATGGACATTCACGACGTTGTTGGTGTGTGCTCATTGGTCGAATGTTTCTCTATTTTAAAACTCCAAATGATCCTGTGAGTTAGTTTTAATTTTAATGTTAGCATTTTAATAAATTTTAATATTAGCATTTTAATATAGCAGCAAATTTTGAAACAATTTTTTTTTAAACTGTGGAATGATTTTCTAACTCACTGCAGATACATAGATTTCAATTTTACATCTGTGTAACATTGAAACATGTATATAAATGATAGCAATAATATCTTTAGGTGTTGTGTTTTATTATATTTAATTAAACATTTTTGCATATGGAGGATGCCGAAAGGCAGATATAGAGCTTCTCAAAAGACTGCATAGATGGTACCACGACTTATAAAGAAATAAGTTTCGCTTTCAAAAAGGTGATAGTTTCATTCATATGATAAAAAATTATCATAGAACATAAGATTGCAAACCACATTTAATTGGTGAAAATAGCAGAAGTAGACATACAGAACATTGAGATGAAGAGAATGGCCAAACAAATGCAAGACTTAGAAGGTCTGTGTCAAGAAAAAGATAACTTCTCGTATACGAATTTTCAATGAATATGTGAAAGATAATAGTAGCGAGCAAGTATTCATTTGTACGCATTGCAGAATTTGCAGACATTAAAATTCTTTCAGAAACATCACATCAGATTATGCAAACTAGCAATATACAGATGTGCCTCTGATTTACAGCTGAGCAGGTAGCAATGGATACCTGGCACAGAGGATGTACTAAGAGCAGTTCTGAGGAGACCATACCACCATCATTGTCTGCACCATATCACCATCATGAACATCAGTTGTTGGCTGTGGGAGATAGGATCCTCCCAAATAACAAGGCATAATGCAGAGCAAAAATGCAGTGTGCACACACCTGAAACAGAAAAACGAGTATTGCAATGTTTTGTCATTTCCTAAATGACTAGCACACGGTCAGTTCAGCTGAACTGGGTATTCAGCGCAAAATGGTGTGGAAAGTTCTGTGTGCAGAAAATGTCAAAATGTCACCCCCTCTACATACAGAAGGCTCAACTCCTGGGGGATCCTGATTCTCTTCGGGTTGAGTTCGTACACTAGATGCTTGATGCCACACAGAATTGATTCGCAGTTTCCTGCCACTGTTTTAATCTCAGATGAAACCTGCTTTATGAGAGAAGGCATGATCAACATACACAATGTTCATATGTGGTTATCCAAAAGTCTTCACGTCATTTTCTCATTGAAAGTGTAACACAAGTTCAGTATTAACACCTGGGCAGAGATTCTTGGAGATCATCTGTTGAGACTGTACCTTCTGCCCAAACACCTCAGTGGGGCAAATTACCTTGTTTTCCTACAGCACGTCCTCCCAAATTTTATCCGAGGAATACTGGACACTGGGCTGCAGAACATGTGGTCTATGCATGACGGTGCTCCTACACATTTTGTAATTGTATGTTTTAAGCACATCTGGTAATCCTTTATCTGTCAGTGTCAACTGCATAGTAACCTTTGCAGCCACAACTGCAAACAATTCCTACAAAATGTGGCATTTTTCTCTTTTTCTGATGTTGAACCGAAATGCATTGTAATCCTGCTCTTTATGTGAAATAAATGTTTTTTGTTTTATCATTAGCCATTTATGTTCCGCTCAATGTCAATGGTATCATAATTCAGATAAAAGCTATTCAAAAGATATGGAAGTGCTGTTATATAGGGTAATAAAATATGTACCAAACTAAAAAGCATTGGGAATTTGCACAATACTTGTATACATTGTATAGTTTTAGTAAAAGCATTCTGTGTGGGCGGGAATAATGATAATAGTGTAGAAGGTTTATGCAGTGAGTTTACTTATTATCTGAACACCGCTAATCATCAATAAGGAAAACAGAGATTAGAATTAGAAACTTTAACCTATTTAAAGTTAATCCATAGTGTGCGAAAACACAGTTAAATGTTGAAGAATATCATTTACAGTTATAAGAAATAAAAAGAGGAGATGGCATGACAAGTTTTAACAACACTTTTTCAGTCTCCCTGTGCAGAGCACTGGAACTAGTTAACATAAGACTGTGTTTTTGTTCTTCAGAGTGTTTGAAGGTAAAACCCTTTTTTTTTTTTTTTTTAAACAAAGAAGTGAAAGTAGAGAGTACAGTCTCTTGCTCTTTGTTTCCGTGAACAATTTTACAGTCTCCCGGTGAGCTGTGCCATCCAGAGCAAGTTATCTTTAAAAACAAAAAAATCCAGTTGGGGGCTAGACAAAGGTTTTGTAAACATGCCTGCACGTATCACTTTGCTGTTGCAGTGTTTAATGATTCCTTGGTTTTATATCACACATATAGTATAATGTTTCATCAGTGTGTCAAGTGTTACTACTCTCATTTTCCCTTTCTGAGAAAAATTATGCACTTATGTTAATGTTGTTCTCGAGTATAATGTTAGCTTACTGTTGAATGAAACATAAATCTTTTAGTTGTTTCATCCATTGCAGCTCATGCAAGTTAAGACTAGGGGAATTTTTTGTCAGCTTCCATCAATGCTAAAGCAGCACGGTGTTTTTTTTTTTTTTGTATGTGTGTGTGTGTGTGCGTGTGTGTGTGTGTGTGTGTGTTTATCATGATACTGTGATACTATTGTTTGTTTGAAATGTGTATCTGGCAGAGCTCTCTCCAGCCCAATCTGTCATTGTTTGCTTTAGCGATTTACACCGTATAATTTTTAATGTAATTTGTAATTCATTGTAGCTTTTAATTATCACATAACTTTAATTACAACATCCCTTTTTAATATCATTCGATTTTCCACTTCTCTGTTAGGTAATACAGTCAAAAGTCGTTAATTCGGACACCCATAATCCGGAATGATCTATAATCCGGACCTCAAAGCTAAAAACTTTCTGCGCATGCGCCGCGTTGACACATGCGCATAGGCGTTTACGCGTGCACGTAAGACTTTTTACCACTGCGCATATGCGTTTGCGCAAGCGCAGAATACGTTTTCGCGTGCGCGTTTTATGTATAACGGACGGTATAATCTAAAATTATCTAATTATCTATTTCAGTTAATGTTGATGATTGCATTGTTACTTAATCTTCGAATTGGATCCGGTTTATTATTTTTCGCAGACTGTAAGAGCAATTTTATAAAAGTAAACTTGAACTTTCGATTATGTCAAATAGAATTTCCGTTTCTGGAGCTCCCAAAGGATCGTACAAAACGAAAGTCTGTTTCAATGTCCATCACACAAAAAGTGGAATTGCTGCAAAAAATGGATAAAGACACGAAGAATGTGACAGAGAGGTTAGTGAAAACGAAAAAATTTTGATTGACAAGTTAGTCAGTATTCTCGGCACAGCAATTAACGGGACTTGAACAGCGGAACTTTGTAACTGAACAAGAAATTATGTCTGTTTATAGAATTAAAGATAAAGTATTATCACATAAAACGAAACAACTTACATTGAAAGAAATGTTTAATAAAATAAACAAATAAATATGAAGCTTTTTTTTTTTTTTTTTTGTAAATTTTGATACCCTTTAGATCATAATTGTTCTTTATTTCATAAATTAAGGTTTCATATTTTTAATTTTAGAATTTCTGCATGCCATCTTACGAGATTTAAACTGATGATCTATAATCCGGAATCGCCGAAGTCCCGACGAGTCCGGATTAACGACTTTTGACTATACTGCAGAATTTGTTGTGTCAGGTCTTCACATTGTTGCTAAATATGAAACCACTTCCACTACTCCCTGCACTTCTGGCTACCAGAAAGCTTCTTTTATATTTCTTAAAATTCATACTTATGGGTGTAGCATAGTTCCCACCCCTGGTCCATGGTCGAATTTCTCAATTATACAACGTACATCATAAATTTGTGCAAACTTAAAAAAGAAAATAAAAACAATTCCATAGAAAAAATTTTGGTTTATGCAATTTTTTCCCATGTACTAAAAAAATTCCAAGAACAACTGAATGAGTGTGCTTACATGAATACTGAGACATTTTATGCAAATCAGGCTAGCAATAAAACACCTGGCTGGAAATGGATCCTTCATTCGATGCCGACAGCGTGCTATCAATATCAGATCGAGTGATAGTGGATAAACTTTTATGCAACAATGGTGAATCCACAAGTATTTACATTATGAAAGTTTTTCACAGAAAAAAGACTGAAGGTGTAAAAAATTCATATTTCACTGAATGGGATACTGAATTTTAAATGATGTTTTAAGAAAATGGCGAGCGGCCAAAATCATTCGCAAAGCGGCAGCTTCTTGAATTGATTCATGCTTGTCACTCATGACTAATATGTCATCAACATGTATAATTATGTAAATTCTTACATTATCCTTACTTAATGTGAAAGAGCAAGGCTTGTCTTGGGTATATCCTCATTTGCATAGAATTTTATCTATTTTGCCCTCCACTTTTTGGCTGCCTGTTTTATCTCATAAATACTTTTGTTTAGTTTACTGGTTTTGTTTGCTCCCTCTGATGAAGCTTCTAGTTGCTTCATCTGTATTTCTTCCTTTAAGTCTCTATGTTTTACATGCATGTTCGTCTGAGATTCTGTCATCAAGATTGTCCTTACTACAGTTTATTTTATGTTTAGTGCAAACATCTCGTGGTAGTCATGCCCAAATTTCTGCCAATATCCTTTAGCGACAAGATGAGCTTCACGCCTAATGGTATTTCCCGAAGCATCAGTTTTGTTTTGAATTTCCATTTACTTTCTTTCCTTTTTGAAGATCCACTAATTCTTGTGGTTTTTAGTTTTGTTGTGTGCTTCAGCATTAGGCACTGCACAAAAAGAGAGGGATGCCCTGAAGAGGACATTTTAAGTGAAACTAGCTTTTACACAGGGGGAAAACCATTGAAATGACCATGCAGCCAGCACATTCGTTGGGACTTGAACCCTGGACCAAGCTGGTAGGTTAGTTCCTGTTTTACATTTGTTTAGTGATTTCATTTCTTCTTTTGTGGATTTCAACCGCAGCTCCTTTTCGTTAGTTGAATAAGTTTGCTGTTCTTTTTGACCTTAAGGGATTTAGATTTCTTCATTCTTTGCATATATGAGAACCCCTTTAGCAGGATTCCTTTTATCAGTGTTTCCTGAAGCTTACAGAAACCTGTGCTACACTGTATGATGAGTTAGTTGTTTATCTGCTGTAAGATTAGCAGTTCAAAAAGTATTAACTGAATTTTAATTTAAAGCTTATTCTGTAAGTGATTTTAAGAAATTATAGTACTTCCCTTGCATTAAGGAGCAACTGAATAATATCCATGGTTTCCTCTACTACTTCCATATATTGTGCTGTGCTGTGCATAATTGAGTTTTTATAATAAATTTTCAGTTTCTTCCTGTCTCTCTGGAGTGATTAATTAAAGAGAGATTGAACCCCCTAGCCCCCAATGATATATTATTCCCACACGTATGTTTTAGTTTGTTTCCGAGTTCTTAAAGTAACAGAAAGATGCTAGTCATACATTCAAGCCTCTATCTAGATGCCTATATTGCCAGTCATACATTCAAGCAAGGATAGTCATATTTCATCCTTAAATTAATTTTTTAAAAAGATGCCATATTTTTCATCAGTTTGGGAATTTTTGAAGAGTTATAATTTTAAATGTGAAATAGTGAATCTTTATGATAGTTAGCCTAGTTTTCATGTTCTCTCTGTCGCTCTCTTTTTTTAATTATGGACTAAAAATTGTTTCTAGCTTAACGTTTGAAGGGCAGAGCATTTCTGGAACAAATGAGGCACAAAAATATCCATTTGCTGCAGACTTTCCTAATCCATCTATGTCAGAATTATCATCAAGACTTCTATATCTTTTTAACAATAATTATAAATTTTTAGTTGTGCATTATGTATTAGTTGATGTTATGCATTGTTGATTGTAATGTTTTTTTTTATTATTCCTGTTAGAGTCCTTTAGGACAGATAAACATGAGAGATGCTAGAGTAGAGGAGGTTGTTCATGTTTCAGATAGTGATGAAGAAGATCATGATAAATTAAATAAATCAGAGTACACCATTGGAATATTTCCAAATCATCAGGGACCTACTTATTTATTGATGGATAACAAACAAGAAATGGTAAGCATTAACTTTAGGGCTGTGCTGTTAGCACTTATGAGCATGCTTCTATATTTTCCTCAGATATCAAGTTGCAAGGTTTCATTATGTTAATTAACCAGTTATTTTATGTTTGGATCTTTACTGTCACTTCTGCCATCTGTTTTCCCTCCAGAATGCAAATTAGTTTGCATGTATTTAAAGTGAGGTTTTTAGATTTTAAGATAGAGCATGTTCTGCCTCGCAAGGCCACATTACTAGGTTGATAGATAAGATTTGTAGTTTTCATTCAGCCTTGCATTAATACTGAATCCCAACTGGTTAGATAAAGTGAGCCAACTTTGTGTCATATTCATCTGTGTAGCTTTTGACTACTAGCTTATTTAAATTAAATTTTACATCTGTCGTACTGTTACTTTATCTTGCCACAAGTGGCATGCTGAATTGTGAGCACCAAGTGTGCCTTTTGTTTTTATTTAGTTTTACATAAAGGATGTTTTACACCCTTCTTAAGTTTGAATTGTTATTTTAGATGTAGCTAATTCATTGGCAGTCTAAAGTTAAGTTACAGCTTATGATTGCCAAGATTTCTAAAGTTAAAAATAATTTTTCTGAACTGTTGTTTGAAAAGTGAGCTTTCAGCATGAAATTATATTTACTCTTTCTCTCTTTTTTAATAGTCAGAATTCGTATATACTACTTTTAAAGTTGATTTCAGTTTTCATATGTGTCTGCATATTTACTAGTATATTTCAAAGTACTTTTAATTGTTGCCTTGCTCTCCCTGTATTTATAAAGGAACAGAAAAGAAATTAGTAAAAAGCAATGATTTCTATCCATTTTAAAAAAAATAGATGTAAGTTGATATTCTAATTGAAGTATTTTGCGACAAGCAATTTAATTTTGTGTCAACATCTTCAAACTATAACATTTTCAAATTTAAGCATGCTGATGTTCAGTATATTGTACTACAGTATATTTTTGGATCCTCAGAAAAAGCTTCAGTTTAAAATGGAATTTCATTCAAATTAAGGTAGTCTAGGTATCTTAAGGGAATTGCAATACCAGTTTAGGAAATACTATATCTGTGGAAGTTAGTACTTTGTTGTAGACTGCACCACTCTTTTTGTCTTTTACAGAGAACTATTGTGAAGTTAAAATGGGCAATCATTTTGAAACTTGTAAGCTGTTGCCCAAAAAGGTGACAATTTTTCTCTGCCAATTAATAATTTGTATACAAATAAGAATTTTATTTAGCAAAAATTTTGTAAACAACCTGTTATTCTTACTAGAGCTCAGATAGAAAATATAACAGAAATATATTCATAGGAATGTATAGAGTACTAAAAAAATATATGAAGAGCATATTTTAGTTCCTGTACTGACAACAGAGAGTTTACTATAAATTCTTTCAGGAGATGGCCCACCAGTGGCCAAGTGGTATTGGGGCTGTATGAGTGCTTCTGGTGTCGGTAATTTAGTCATCATTTCTGACATTATGAACCATCTGCTGTACATTGTAGTTTGAAAAATAGTCTGTGGTCTAGTATGACAGAAATGGGTTTGGATAGCGAATATGTTTTTATACATGATAAGGACCTCAAGCATACAGCCCTAAACACACAGCCCTGGATATTATATAACACCCGAAAGTTAATAAAATTTCCTCCTCAGTCACTTTACTTTAATCCTATTGAGAATTTATGGGAAAATCGTGATAAATATGTTAGATCCAGGCACATTTCTAATAGAAATGACTTAATAAGTGCTCTTAAACAATAATGGAAGACCATATCTGGCTCAGTAATGGCAGATTTGATTGAATCAATGGCAAGGAGACATAAACCATTATTCAGGATAAAGAATATCTTACAAAGTGTTAATTTAAATATATATATGAAAATATTCAACATTATGTATTACGTACGAGTACTTTTTACACTATAAGATAGTGGGTTGTTTTTGTTTTGTAAATGTAAAATAAGTATATTTCATTACATATTTAATTACTTATTCTGAAATTTAAGTTTATGGTTTTTATAAAAGGCATTTTTAGATCATAACACATACTGTACAAATAACTTTCTACACACACTGTACATAGCATTATGCATAATCAGTTAATAAATCACTAATTGGTCATTGTGATGATAAAAATCAACTCTGTGCAGTTGCTGTACTGACAAAATCAGTGAATCATTCTGTCATCAATTCTTTCATCTTTGAATCAATGCTTCACTGTTAATTTTTTATAAATAATGTTGGCATTTAAGGTATCAGTTCACACACAAGTGTATGTTCTATCTCAAGGGAAAAATGCAGAGCATTCAATTTAAATAATTTACAAATTTGAATAATTAGCAGGACTAGTGTTGAGTATATTTAGGAAAACTTTGTGAAGCTGAGAAGACAATTTCTCTCTATTCAGAAAGGTCATAAATTCAAACTTATTATAAAACTCAAGCTTTTTGCATATATGCTTGGAATATTACACTGCAGTTGAAGGATTATCTGTTTTTCAATACATGTTTTACTTTAGCAAAAATCCCCCCCCTTGTTATTTTTTATTTTTTATTTATTATTTTTTATTTTTATTGTGTACTAGAGCTTCGCTGCCAGCCTTCGCCTGGCTTTTAAATGTACCGGGAAAATGGCTGAAGGGAAAACCAAGTGTTAAATTTAAAAGCTGCATAGAATTTTACTCTGCAGAACAACTTCATAAAAAAAAAGTTACCACGTATAACAAAATTACAATGAAATAAGCAATATCCCTTAATACAAATATTAATTATCCTAACTAATAAATTAACCAATTTCCCTTTGCAAAATCTAAAGAGCTCAAATGGTATAGAGGAGGTTAAGAAATTTCTTTCCAAAAGAAATCACTCAAAACTTTTCAATATCTTAAAAACGTGAAATGAGCAATAATAAATAAAAGAATACCAAAAAAAAAAAAATGAAATTCAAAGTATAATTAATGATATTTTATCTTATATTTTCAAGAGAAAAATTACAACAATGAAATAAGCTATGTCCTTAATACAAATATTAATTTATCCTAATAAAAAAATTAACCAACTTTCCGTTGAAGAAAAAAAATCATGCAAAACTTTTCAATATCTTACAAACAGTGAAATAAGCAAAAAATAACCATAAAGAAAAAACATAAAATTCCACGCAGAATTTTACTCCACTGACCAACTTTATATCAAAAAAATAATCATAAAAATATATATAAAAAATGACAATGAAATACGCCAATCTCTTAAACACAGTGACATAAGAAATACGTTGAAAAATTGTTGCCAAACTCATATTTCTAAAAGAATGAAACTATTCTATGATGAAAAATCTATCAACAACAATAAGACAGGAAAATTGCTGCCAAAATCATATTTTTAAGATGTGAGATGTGAGAAGTGTACTCGGAAGCTTCATTTAAAAAATCTTTTAAAAATACAAAAATATTATCATTTTTCCAAAATTCTTTTTGTAAAAGCAGTCCGCAAGGATGAAAAGTTTAACGTGTCCAAAAATCAAGGGAAAATAAACTGTACATTTTTAAAAATAAACTTTTTTAGAAAAACCCCCGTTGAAAAGGTCTTAACATCACTTTGTTAAATAAATTCGTATTGAAACACGAAATTTATTTTAAGTTTGTAAAATAACCAAGTGCCGACGTTTCATGATGATGTGAAAATGGAGTGTGTAGAGTAAAATCTCACTTTCCTATAGCCCATTATGTCTCAAAATGATGCGATTTCATCACAAAACATAAAATAAAAACAATTCTAATTCGAATTTAAAAAAAATCGCTTCGAGGTGCACTGGCTTTATCTGGATGCACCTATGTACCAAATTTCGTAGCCGTGGGTCTATTAGCTTACGCGCAGTGCGAACGAAAGACACACACACACAGACAGACTCTTTCTTTTATTATATCTAGAGATTGGCCAACTGGTTTTTTGATTTAAACCTGATTGTTTAATGTATATTTATGTATTGATAACCAAATCTATCAAATTAGAATTAAAATTTTTAAATCTCAAGGATAACAATGTTATTACTAAATTTGTGCTTCTGGTGAATAAGAAACAAAAAAAAAAAAAAAAAAAAAGAAGTTTATTTCATATCATTATTTAATAATGAGATAAAATATTTCTGTTCTAAATTTAGTATTATTGTGTCAATCTCTAATTCTATGTATGGTGCATTTCAAACAGTTTCTCATGAATTTCAGTTACTAGCTAGTAGTAATTACTATGCCCTTGATGCACAATACGTTTCCAGAGTTGACAACTCTACCGATTTTCAACAGCTCTCCCGCCAACCCGATTTACAATATATTTCTCCCGATTTTTTTCTTATTCTTAAAATTTCTCACGATTTTTATGGAACTTGGCAAAACTGTGTGTCATCTGGCATATATTAGCCAATGAGGACAAAGCAAGCTGTTATTTAGATGTTCTTTATTTATTTTGTTCATTTTGTCCCGAGCTGTGTGAGTACACGTACCTTCAAGAAACAGTTTTAGAAATTATCTTTTATTATGCCTGCGAGAAAGGTGAAATACTTGTGTACGTTTCAAAAATCATACACAGTTGACTTTCCTTCCATTATTTCCTCAAGGAAATGTAATAAATTTGCGATGTGTAATGCCTGCCGTTGCGATTTTTTTATTTCACATGGTGGAAGGGAGATGTTCTCAAACATGTGCGTACACAAAAACACAAGGACAACATGAGTTGTTTTGAAAAAAACGAAAAATTAAATTTTTCTTCGAAACAAAGGACCAAAAGTTATTACGGAATGTCGTTCTCTGCTTTTTACTGGAGCACAACCTGCTCTGAATACATTGGATCACGCTGGCAGCTTTATTTAGAAAAATGTTTCCCGATATGAAATGCTACGAAATACTCAAGTGCAAGAAAAACAGGTGCAATTGTTAAAGAATGGTTTTGAAAATAAATCTTCAGTTATGATTGCATTAAAACAGCTCCGTTCTGCCTCTCTATGGATGGAAGCAATAATACCGATTCAAAACTGTATCCAATTGTGTTTCTTTTTTTTAATCCAGAGTCTTCAGATTGAGTGATTTACTTTCTGTCCCCCTTTAGATGACCTTGATAGGCTTTATATAGCCAGCTAATTATAACTTTAAAAGAATGCAATCCCTCTGATAATTGCTTAGCACTTGCCGATAATGCACCATGTTGGTAGGCTTGAAGGCTGGTGTTGCAGGTCTAAGAAGGAAAATTCAGATTTGCAGATTATGAGGTGCACCTTCCCTCTTAATTTAGTAGCTGAAAAGGGGAGTTCTTTTACCAATAATGTGATGAACACATTGTTGAATTTATTATTCCTTGAAAGGTTCTAAAAGAGAAAAGTGAAACAGTTCCAACAGCTTCATAACAGCGTTTACAATTAGAAAACTTGGATGAAGTTATAGAAATCAACTAGATTGACACTCATGGAGTTAATTGGAAACTGAGGTGATGATGGAGTTTTAAAATATAGTGAACTGTCTAGAATTATGTTGGCCATCTTGACAGTTCCCCATAGTAATGCAGAGTGCGAGAGGATTTTCAGTGTTGTTGCGAAACCGAGGACTAAATTTAGATCTAATATTATAAGGTATTTCTCCCACTTCCCTAGTGTGCCTTTGTGGTGTAATGGCAGCACGCTAGGCCAGTATTCCAGAGGTTCGCGGTTCGATTTCCGGCGAAGGTGAGTGCATATTTTTCATCTCTATGGCTTCCAATTAACCTAATGACCTACAAGTGGCGGCCGACGAAAGGGTTTGGGATGATGTTTCCACACCCAGGATGGCGTCTAGGTCCTTAAACCCTAGCGCCCTTTAAAAAGGGGGTTATAAGGATTTCTCCCACTTCCTAGCGTGCCTTTGTGGTGTAATGGTAGCACGCTGCCGGTATTCCTGAGGTCCGCGGTTTGATTCCCGGCAAAGGCGGTGCATATTTTTCATTTTTCTGCTTCCATTATCCTATGACTCTACATTTATGAGACACATTAGAAAAACTTTATTAGCGAAAGCAGCCTACGTGGCATTGCTATGAACAAAATTATGAAGTTTCTTTCTTAAAGAAGGCAAATCTACACTGTTTTATAGTTGTATAAAACTTATTAAGTGTCTTTTTTGTTTTTGTTTTCTTAACGATGCAATAAAAAATGTTTTTTTGTGTATTTTTTGTTAAAATGTTTTTGTTGTTGCTTGCATTTAAGAATTGTTACTATTTAAAGTTTCATTATAAAAACTTATTTCTCTATCATTTAAAAAGTCTTTTTAACATTGTGAAAAATCTCCTGATTTCTTAAAAAAAATCTTCTGATTTTTGAGTGTCATAGGTTGGCAAGTATGCATTTCATATTAACATAAAAATTGAAGGAAGTATGCTATTTGCTATTATAGGATGACTGGATGTATCACTTGACAGTTGTTTCTTCTGGGGAAAATTTGATTGGAACTCAGTATGAACAATTAATTGCTAAACTGATGGAAGCAGATGGTGAAGAAAGTGAGAAAATAATTTTCTTAAGTATTTGGAAAATTATGAAAACTTAAAATGATCCCATATTTGAAAAATTATGAAACTTCTTATGTTTGCTAAGTATATATGTTTTGCTCATATACCTGTATATTTTACAGATAGTGCGATTTGGAAGCACCCGTTACTTCTTTATTCAAAAGATCCTATTTCTCAGCCCTTAACAACACTGCCTTCTGAACAGTTACAACTAGATGCTATTAAGTTATTCAAAGTAAGAACTTTGTTATATATCTTGGATATTGCCTGGTATTGCATAATAATGCAATGCATGCTGCCTTTTAAGATTCTGTGTTTTTGGAATTTGATGTAGAAAACCCTTTTGTTAATTCAATGTGATGCATATTTGAAACTTCGCAATCGTATTTCAAGAAATACGTATCATTTTGTGTATAATATATGTGCTCTTTTTATGGTTAATAGCACATGTCTCAAATTTTTAGCCCTTTGAAATTGAGTGCAGAACAGCTTAAGGAGCTTTTATTATTCTTTTAGATAGATTATTTGTCTAAATTGCTCTTCATGATGCAGTCTTAATATTTGAAATAAATAGCATTCAGGTATTAATATATTTATTAATAATGTTATTAAAAATCACATCAGCTTTTCATAAATAGTAAAATTCCTACTTTCTTTCTTATTTGGACAGAAAGAGGAATTAATGCATAAAGAAATCCAGGGTCATTTCTCTTGAAGAAAAATTTGATCTATGATCTAATTTCAACTTAACTAGATTTTACAATTTAATTTTAATAGAACTAGATTGAAGTAAATTGTGTTATCTAATTTTAACTGAATGAAGATAGATTAAGAAGGTAATATAATACACAAAGGTGGTTTTTACTCACAGTTAAAAAATTCTGGTTATGATTTATATATATATATATATATATAACTGTGTATCAGAATTTTAAAAATATAAATAGTAATTCTGTGAAACATTAAAATCTTTTATTAAGTTTAAGATTTTTTTAGCTGTTTTAAGATTTTTTAAACAAGGATTTATTGTTTTCAATAAGCCTAAAAAAAATAAGAAGTATGTTACTGTTACTATAGGGAAATACTTGTTGCAAGCCCTGTATGAAAATGATCAAGTGGAATAAATGCACAGCTGGTATCTAGAATAAGTATATATGTCTCCAAATGACACTTTTTTTTTTTTTTTTCTATTTGGCTTTGCCATTTTAAATATAGGATGTCATGTTTTGTATTTTGAATTTCTAAGGAACTCATTTTTTTGAACTTATTACTACTGCTTAATTAAAAATAGTATGAGGTATTAAATTGAAATCTGCATACCAAGTACACTTTCGTTTTAAATCTGTGATTTTTTATACTTATTCAGGTTTTGACTTTTTGAAACTTTAATATTAAGTTCTTCAGAGTGTTAGACTGTAATCTGAATTTGAATCTTTAAAAATAGGTGTAAGGGTTAATGTGTTAGTTAAAAAGTTATCAAAATATAAATTAAATTCAGCTGTGAAGTTGGATTGCAGAATTTTTATTTATACAAAGTGCTTGCAACTTTATTTATAAAGCGTTTATAAACTTACTTTCCATCATTTTCTGTTTAATGGAAAAAGAGATTAGTTTATAAAGCGTTTTATGACAGGTAAACAAATTATCTGTGCTTTAATTAATGACACATCTGCAATTTCATTTTGAAAGGATTTATTCCTTGAATATATTTGTGCATGTGTGTACTTATACAGGTTAATTCTAAACATTTTTGAAATATTTGGCTGAACACACGTAAACTATTAGGTTTCAGCACGCAAGCATGCACATAACTCAAGGAGTGAAGTAACAGAGGACTCCCAAATAAAGGCATTTAAGTGCTAGTTTTATCACTTATTGTTCTTTCTATGATGGATTTTTGGAAGTCCCTTTCCCCGAATTGGGATAAAGCAAGTGTGCATTTCATGTACAGAACTATGGATGGGAATGTGTAGGAAGCCCAAGGACCATAATGAAATTATTTGCTAAAAGTTTTGTGCCGGTTTGTGAAGCCTTTAACCATTTTCAACTATTTGTGAAATGAGCTTCTTTCTTGGTGTCTTGCAGGATACCTGACATCCAAGGAGTCTGAGGACTATTTGTTACGGAAGAAATTCTTCATATGGTTAAAAGATCTGGCTGAGTGTTGTGCTGGAGTAATTTCATATGCCGCATTTCAACATCCCATTTGACAGTGAGGTGCATGCTAAGAGATGCATGAATTCACTTTTACTATGCCCAGAGGGTTCAAGGCCTTTGCACTTGCAGATTATCAAGCTCATTTTGATTCTGCATGTTGGCTGCATCAGAAAACTGCTGCAAGGTTGGATTTATTTTAATGTGCATTTACTGCTACACACACATAAGAGGATTACACATTAAGGAATTTTTGATTACCATAATTCTCATCCGGGTAACAAGGAATCTACATTTTCCATATCCGTGATCAAACCAATGGCATTTCTTAAATGTTTGGACTAGGACTGTCCATGACCATTTGATTTTCTTATATTTATTACCAGACCAACTAGACGGAAGAATGTACTTTGTATTTTTACAAGAAATTTTCTCAGAATTATTCAGCATTACTGCCAGAATTACTGTTCTGGCAAACATTAGACATTGTTATAGTACCAATGTGACAGAGTGCTAACCCATTTCAGCATGGATTTGCAGCAGTGGGCTAGTTGAAATGGTCCTATCAAATATGAAGAGCGAATACCCAGTTTCTTATATCTGGATGTTTTTCCTGTTGGGACGTTTATAAAACCTCATCTGTGATAGTCCCATTTATTCTAATGAGGACCTCCTTGCCTGGATTTCTTTTGCTACTGCCACTTTCCAAGGAATGTCTTAATGGTTTTACCAGTGTGTGAAAATTACTATATCAAAGGTTTGAAGCATGCATTTGTATTGAAGGTCACTCTTTTAAGAGGCTTGTGTAATTTGCTCTATAAAATTTGTACAACTTTCCCATTCCTCCTCTGTTACTCTTATATCTACTGTCACTCGTCTGCTTGAGGAATGTCCATGTATTGTGTATCAAAAAGGGATTGTTTAGGTGTGCTTTGTCACCCTTTAAAATTTGCCTAAGAGTTTTGAATCACCTTGTATCATTAAATATTATGAACATGTTAAACTGTAGTGCAATAATATAATTTTAAAAAAAGGCTTTTTGTTTACTAGCATGTTCAAATTTTTATTTTAGTCTATCCAGCTTTTCATATCTGTGCCACTGGATACATCAGGAATTGAATATCATGTTGCTCTTGCCCAGAATGCTCTTCTTCAGTGTTTAATATATCCTGAACTTCAGAACGAACTCTTCTGCCAACTAATCAAGCAGACTTCTCGTCATTGTTATCAAAGAATTGGAGTTCAAGTAGGTATTTAAATGTGTGCTGCAGCTGAAATTAATAAGCACAACTCAACCACCAAACTCATTAATCTTTCCATATGTTGTGTCCATGGGATAGAATACACTTACTATTTACAATTTTAAACACTGTGACCTATTTTCATTAGTTATGTAATTTTAAATATTATCTATGTTAATTTTCTCTGTCTGTATCTTATCATTGGTAGATAGCCTGTATAGAATAGGCTGCAGTTAAGATATCTAATATTTGTTTATTCCCCTTTTGCTTGAAAATGCATAGGTGTAGTGCAGAAAATTCTGTTAATTAGTTTTAAAAATTATTTTCACAAATCTCACATTTCTAGCAGTATCTTCTATTAAATTTACTATCAAAATAAATAGATCATCATTAAATTTTATTATTTACTGAATTATGAAGGGTAATTCTTATTGTTATGTCAGTGATAACTGTGAACACTTGTACACCCTCTTTCAGACATTATATTCATCATTTTTTTACAGGCATGTGTGATATTTGTTTACTTATGAAGTTTATTGTGATTAATTATATCATAATTTAAAACATGTTTAGTTATTAATGCTTAACTTTAATCTTTAAAGGGTTTGTCATTTCTGCTTGAAGATAAAACTACCACTTTACCATTTGTAATTTATATGCCCTTTTCAGTATTTAGTATGCACAGTCAAACTGGTTAATGATAAATTTAGTGTTATAAATACATTTTTATAATTTTGTATTATTTCTGCAAAAAAATTGTAAATGTCTGTACCAAAACTTGAAGAAACAGTTTTAAAGTATTTTACCGCAGTAAGCTGAATTAACTGACTAACTGTTGCAAGTATTTGCATTTACATGGAATGAAGTAACTTTCTGTACAGTTGTCAAAATAGCAATTGTTTTTTAGTCTGTTCTTTAATTGCGTATATTTTTACTTGAAGTATTGAAATGCTTTTAATATGTTATGATATCTTAGTGTTATATCATTTAGCAACTACTCATTTGTGCAACACAGTCACTGTTTTTGTGTGATACATCATCATCTGAAAAGACTTCTACTTCAGTGGGAAGTACAGAGAAGTCTGTTCCATCTGAAAGCAAACTGAATCCAGCCCCTTTTGTATTTGTTCAAGCATGGCAGCTTTTGGCATTAGCTGTATCACTTTTTCTGCCTAAGAATAGGACTCTGTGGTATCTTCGAACGCATCTTCAAAGAAATGCAAATTCTAAGTGAGAACTTGTTGTTTTATGATTTTTAAATTTTATTCTTCAATTTGATATAGTATGTAAATGTTGGGTGTTCACTGAAGTGATTAGCTTCAAGTATAATTTCTTTAAGTATAAATTTTATTATTTACTGTAAGTATCGTGGAACAACAAATTCATTAACATGAAATTGCTTTAATTTCTGATGTAATGAGTTGTATAACTGCTGCAATACTGAAAAAATTTATATTATTTTTAATGTTTTCGATAAAATTCATTTTTTGTTAACAAATAATGTGTCATAATAATACAAATTTTGTATACATTATACTTTCATTTGTACATACCAATACCTTATTATATGTAATGGTATTGAAGCTAGTATTTATCTTTTCTGATTAGAATAAAAATCAGTCTAAAGTGTGATCCATAAATTTAATGTGTCAAGACTTGTCATTAAAGGAATTTTTTGCCTCTGAATTTGGAAAAGTTAACTTCTTAAATTAATTTCAATAAATATTTAGGAAATTATAGCAGATTATAACTAAGTAAAAATTTGGAACTCGTTTATAAGCTTTTCGTTTACCTTAAGCACTCTTTTGGGTTAAATTGACCGAAGGTTGAAATAGCGTTTGTTTGGAAATAAATAGTTGCCTCAAATCACTCAGATGTCATTACTAAAATGTTTTAAATTATTAGCTGCTGTTATTAAATTGTTTAATTTTCAATGTTCCTTCTCATGGACTTATTTTTGAAACTTAGCTTAGTTCTGTGCAGATGTATTATTAAAACTGCAATAAGTTAACTGTAAAGCACTAACTGTTTTACACACCATTTTGACTAGATGAAGGATAATGTCGTACCTCTCTTTTTAGAACATTTTCATTTCTGTATTTTACAGCTAACTTCATACATATTCATTAGTTTATTGCATTCTTCTTCTCAACTCAAACTAAATAAGCACTTAGTGTGTACACTATTCACACTGCTTGCATGAATGCTTCTGAATTAAAAAAAAATTTGTATCTCACTTCCACATTAAATAGGAGCTAAAATTTTGGGACTAAAGCTAAAAGACAGACAGTGAGTTATCACTATATCTTGAAGAACTCGCAAAATACAGAAGATTTATTTTACTCTCTGTCTGAACTTTCCCTTTTATTTTACTGTTAGTTTGAATATAAAGGCACAACTTGTGCTACAGATAAAATTCTCAGAACATATGGATATTTTAATTTGTCAGAACAGACAACTAAATTTGAGCATTGATAATGTAGTCTAAGATTACACATTAAATAGAATAAGCTGTATCATATATTTTACCAGCATGTATTTAAAGCATTGCCTAGTAAGGATGCTAAAGCTGGAACATTATTTTTAGACAGAGCTGTCTAAAAGTACAAACAGCAAAACGGAATTGCCCAAAGCTGACTTAACTAAAGATTGAAAACCCTCAGCTTAACTTGCATTCTGGTGGGGAATGCAGAAAAAAAAAGTTATATTAGACTTAAATCTTAGTAACTCATTAATTAACATAAGATTCTGTGCAAATATAATAACCTGGCTCTTAATTTAAGTGGCCCCACTAGTGGTTGAGCAGTTAAAGACTGCTGATAATTTATCCCAGAAACCAATCCGGACGAATAAGCTGGCTGCATGTTTTTCATGATTTTCCCCATGTGCAACGGGAATATGAGCTACTTTTCCATATGCTAGTCCTCCAGGAAGGCATTCCTTCCCTTAGGCACAGTCTTCATGTATTTTGCCATAGCTAAATAACCAACCAACCTAATTTATGCGCAATTTGTTTAAAAAAAAAAAAAAAAAAAAAGAAACTTACTGAAAGCTAGTAATGATTAGAATTCAAGTTTTGACAAATCACAATTTAAATTTTAAAGATGTGTTAGTTGTCAATCCAGTGTTTACATAAAAATATATTTTGCTTTGAAAAAAGAAGAAGATAATTAGTTAATCTCTCAAACAAAAACAAAAGTTTAAGAAATTTACTATGCAATGAAAGTTACAAAATATTATTGGATATAAAATATCTTTAGTCATTTATTTATTTATTTATTTATTTTGCCTTTGCTGTGCACAGAAAAGAACAAAAAACTTATATTCTAGTAAATTTTTAAACATTTCTGTAGTAGAAGACATGTTTTATTTATATTTTTGGTGTATTGTTTGACTTACTCAGTATTGAATGCATACATGATGCACAACTTGAATGCATACATGATGCACAAGTCAGCATAATAAATTTCGTTGCATATAAAATGAAGTTAAGTAAAATAGCAGGTGATAAAATAGTGAAGGTAAAAATTTACTCTTATGAAAGAAAAAAGAATCTTTAAACTTTATCAATAGTCTTCTTAAATTTAAAAAATATCGTTTCATTAAAAATTATTTCATTTTAAATAATTAATAAAACTAATAATTAACCCCTTCGCGCCGACTGTCACGTATACGTGCCAGCAACGAACACACTCACTAAATCCCGCCGGACACGCAGGCGTGCCAGAGCAATGTTGTCCCTTTCTAGCCCCGACCGTCACGTATTTGTGCCAGTGTCCTGGAACGTTTTTCAAACTATAATTTTTCTGCCACAAGATGGCACTGTATCCCATATGGTTTCAGATACATGTACATGAGACATTCTGCTCGAAATGAGAGAAGCATGACTCACATACACGTGTTTTTTATTATATAAACAAACGGGGAACTAAATGTTTCCGAATGGGTGATTTATGACGTCTCTTTAAATTGCACTTTATTCGCACGTGGTAGTTGTTTATTGTAAGTAGAAGTTTTATATATGCGCTAAAGCGTTGAGTATTTCGGTTTACAGTTCAGTTTTTAGAAATAATTAGATCTTGTTAGACGGGAATTCCTTTCTGTTTCTAACCGTTTCAATGTCGAAGCGTCGAAAATGTTTAACAGAGCATGAAATAGCAGAAATGATGCAAAATATTCAGATATTGATTCTGAAATTCTGATATTCTGATATTGATTCTGAAAGATTAACTGAAAGACATTTTCTAAAACTTTGTTCAGAAGAGACTGATAAGAAAATGAGACGAACGGTGCTTCGTTTGTTCACATCTCCGGAAAAAATCCTCCAAAATGGCAATGAGTTATTACGAGTTCAAGGAATGTAATGTAGGACTCTGTGTAGATCCCTGTTTAAAATTTTTCATATGAAAAGAGAATTTTAAGTAGTATATTAGTTTTCATCAGTTATAATGTTAAAAGTCATAAAATGGTGAGTAAGTTAAAATAAATGTGTAAAATATGCCTTTAAACAAAAGAGAAATAAGGTATTAAAGTATATATATATATAATATTTATAAAGCATAAGCCGTTTAAATACTCTATAGAGCATTATTAAACAATGCATTGATACTTCGGAAATTTCATGGATTTAGGCTTAATAGCAAAAAAGCCCCTGGCCCTGGAGAGACGCTTGCAGAAGACACTGCCGGCCTCCGCGATAAGCGCGCGTTTTCGCTCGAAGGGGTTAATAATGTATAATAATGTAATGATTATAAAATTATAATTAAAAAAGATTTTATTTGGATATTTAATGTTCAAAAGTAATTATGGCAATTATGAAGAATATAACAAAATGCATAAACAACATTTGGAATTGATTATCGCTTGTAACAAATATGCCAAATTTCGAAATGCGCCAATACATAAATTCACATATTATCTTGGGAAATTTTGAATAAAAACTCTGTTTTTTTCTGTCGCTTTGCCTAGAATTACATCTAATTTGAGATGAAGATAGAAATTGTATATATTGTAATGTAAGAAAATTTTTAAAAATTATTGAAACAATAATTCGTACAAAATGGGCAAAATTTATTTGGGTGTAACTTAAATTATGAATTCTGAAAGGAGGAATGTAGCAACTTTTAATAAAAATAGAGAGACATTAATAAATATATCAAATTCAATTAACATTGGGGATGGGTTGGTCACAGGGTTGTGGTAATTTATTGGGTGCAGCTCAGTGCTTTCAGTGTTAAACAGAGAGCTTTGCTCATGTTGCCATCTATGTGTTGAATCAGTGCAGCCAATAAAGACCACATGACATCAGGGACAGAAATTGAGTCCATTTCATGGGAGTGAAATTCTTTACCTTATCACAATAAAGCCCATCAGTGACTAATTCAACACGTTTGAATTTGTGAATCTGCAAGCCGCCATAAGGAGCTGTAATTTTTTAAAAACTGCAGAAGTGATTTTTATGAAACTTGGCACTTTGGTATAATTTGAGAAGTAGGATTGACATATGTAGCAAAGTTGATATGTCCTTTTAGAAAAAAGTCCGATTTTCTGTCAAAATACTTATGTTAAAACAGTGCTATACGTATACCTAGCATATATCTTAAAAATTGCACTCTTGAGACATGAAAAGCACAAGTTGAATTTCATCAATCAGCATGGCAGAATAGGAGATAAAGAACTGTCACACCCCCTTTTTTTGATTGAGTGTACTGTTATTGGAATGTACGTTTCTGTTACAGAACTTTTCATCTACTTTTCATTTGCTGTGCTGTTATTGAGTCTGTGCCCTTTGGAAATTAAATTATGTACTTAATTTTCTCCTTTCAATTTTTTGGTGATAAAGTTAGTAGGAAAAAGGAGGGAAATACATGAGAAAACACAGTAAATATTGCTTAACGTATATTTTAAAAAGAGCTCCTTATGAGGTGAATTTTTCCAAGTTGTCTGTCATATTCATTTTTAAACATTGAAACTTGCTTTCTTCGTAAATATCAAATGTTAAACTGAACATTAATTACTTTAAAAAATGACAATTTTTGTTTCAATAACTTTTACAGAAGCCACATTAAATTTTGAACAAAAATATCTTAAAATATTTAAATGTTCTATTAGAAATTAGTCACAAATAAAATGTTAATTTTGCCAGTAATGAAATTCAAACTGTTATGCATCCATTCCATTTACTTTTTAATGTTTTGCTTTTTCCATTTCTTTTTGCATTTTCACACTATTGCTTACAAAATTGATATATCTGATTGATATTTATTTTAGATTAGAAGCTGGTAAATATGACATCTTTTGCCAAAGAGCTTTGGAAAGAGCTTTAATGAACGGTGGTCGTGAGTGTAAGCCATCTAGAATGGAAGTGTTAAGCATCTTGCTAAAAAATCCATATCACCATTCCCTACCTCACAGTATACCTGTGCACTTTTTAAATGGAACATATCAGGTATTTAACTAGTGCATTTTTTATATAGTTTGTGTAGTCAGAATTTTTATGTGCCTTAAAAAAGCAAATATCTGGAACGGAAAAGCGAAGTTATACTTTATCATATTAAAAGTATTTTTAACAATATATGTTCTTTAAGCTAAGCTGTACTTCATCATTTGTCACTGTGCCTATTGTATTAATTTTATTGTAGGGAAAGCAAAACTAGCAGGTCAGTTGCAAGGTAGATAGTGCAATTTTTGCAACTGAAAATTTACATCTAACATATCTAATAAATAAATAAAATGAAACAAAATTTATAAAATACTTAACAGTTATGAAGCTGTAACATGTATAATTAGTTCATAGCTAAATAATCATTTAATTACATTCGTTTTTATTGAATGTAATTAAATTATAGATTAATATGTGTAAATCAAATTCTTCTATTTCGTGCTGTTACATAAATCACAATCTCTATTTAAGTGAACAGGTTGCAGTCTGAATGAATGGACTGGCTATATGGCATTTTTCTTGATTTTTCTGATGCCTTACGTAAATACAAACAATTTTACCATAAAACTTCCTCCGCAAAGGCATGTCTTCTCTTAGGCAGACATCTCTTTGTGTACTTTGGTGTAATCTATGTACTTTGCTGTAATCTAAGTAATCCATGTTCATTTAAGTCTGTTATTTTGATATATTGTGTGGCACATGCAGATTTTCTTAATGCTTTTCAGTTTAAAAAAAGAGCATTGTGTTTCAGAATTCTTTGTTTTTACTAATAGAAAAAATGAAAGATGACTTCATGTCTATTAAAACTTAGGGTCTGTTCAGAGTTCAAATTTCAGATTTGAATTTTTTATTGGTACTATTTTACCGCTTTTTTCCCTCCTAAATTCTAATGAAAAGTACTATAAGGGGTGCTTAAATGAAAAGTTACAAAATAACACTGTGACACAAAAGTTACAAAACGACACTGTGTTAATAATGGAAGTCTTTATTCACAAGTAATAACCAGAGGCCTGAGCAGAACTATCCCACCGTTTAATGAGTTAAAGGATTTCCTGTTCCTAAAATTCCTTTGGCTGTGACATGTTGTCATAGTTGAAGTGCTTCCCTCTGAGGTTTTTATAGTGGATAAAACACATGGAAGTCGCATTGCAACATGTCCAGGTAGTAGGCCAAATGCTCAAGCTGCTCCCACATGAACTTGGCCATTGCACTTTGTGTGACCTTGGAGATGTGTGGATGCATGTTATCATAGAGCAGAATCACTCCATGCCTTTTGCTCATTAGACTTGCATAGGTTATGGACTGTCTCACTGTTCTAGGCTGAAGGAATTCAATGAATATTGGACGTCGATCACCGTAAAAGACAGTGAACATCACCTTGCCTGCTGAGGGCACAGCTATGAATTTTTTAGGGGGAGGTGATGACATATGCTTCCATTACATGTTGTCCTACTTTGTCTCTGGCTTGAAGTGATGGCACCAGGTCTCATCGCCAGTGACGATCTGCTCCAGGAAAGCGGGGCCTTCATGATACCAGAACAGATGTTGCAGTGCTGCTGTCATACGCAGTTCCTTTTTTGGTTCACTGAGCATTTTTGGAACCCACTGCATGCACACATTCTGATAACTCAACCTGTCGTGTACAATTGTCCACACCTTTCTAACACTGATCCTCAGCATCACTGTCAACATTTGCATTGTGACATCCCAGTCACTTCTCATCAGGTTGATGAGTTCAGCTATGATTGCTTTGATTGCCTGTCTTTGTCTCATGCCATCACTCAAACACCTCCAGCCTTCATAAAACGGGCACTCCACTTTCACTTGTCAGAGCCACAGTCTCTTCTGTATATGGCTACTATTTGGTGATGAATATAGGCCATTTTAACTCCTTATGCAGTCAGAAATATGATAACACCTCACTACTCCTCAGTTATCAAATTTTGCAATGTGAATACCATGATATCCTTATATGCACTGCTGCATCTATTGAATGGAACACACAACTGCCTACTTCTCTTCTGTGTCATGTGGAGGTGCCCATATATGCATACAACCTTGCCAGAGTCTGCATTCGCTTCCCTAGTCTCATTACATTATCTCAAAGCAGCATATTCAAATTTCAACCAGTTTGTTGCTGCGTTGAACACTCCTCATATTAAAATTACTTAAATATGAAAGCTTATTTTATTTATACTGGTAAAAAATTTTCAGATATTCTGAAATTTATTTAATATTGGTATAAAATTTGTTGCCTGCAAAATCTCAGAAAATTTCATAAAAATTGCAAAAATATTCATGGCATGCACATGCCATAAAATTGCTACCTTACTCTCATATATTAATGTTTATTCCTGATTTGTTAATAGCAAAATCATTTGTTTTGGAAGGTAATTCTTTCTAAAACAAAGAAAGGAAATTCTTTCTTTTGAAGGGAGGACAAGGTTCCTTCCTTCTAAGTTTTGAAGTTTCTCTTTATTTGCTAATGTGTAGGTAGTGTGCTATTTGTGAAAATTAACTTAAATCTCTTTAAAAATTGAAGTTTTAGTTTGCCATTTAAAACAAAATAAAGCTTAAATTTTTCATGAATTTTTTTATTAATGTTCAAACTTTTTATTGAAATAAGTGCTTTACAAATATTTGGAAAAAATGTAATTCTTTTAAATTACAATGAAAAAAAATTTAATTAGCAGAGTTAGTGAAGTATTCTGTATTTCTGTAGTGTTTGTATTTTCAAGTAGTGATGATTACGGAAATGGGGAGGTTTGTTCTCAACAAAAGTTAAATGACCAGAACAGTTAAATGAAGTTGGCAATGAATTTGAATATTCATTTGGCAAAATAATATGCGTTCCTAGGGCTGTGGGCTTTTCTTCTTGGGATAAATTCTTCTGAGATTAATTTAGCCTATATTGAAACTGTGAAAGTAATATGGTTAGTGCAGTTAGTGGAAATGAATAATAATGCTAGAGCATCAAATTCTCCTTTGTCAAATAACAACAAATTTTGTTCCAAAATGTAGGAATGCTGAGGGCAAAAGGCAGTAAAAGATACATGCTGTAAATAAGCAGCAATCTGCTATGCAGTTGGAAATAAAATATTATGTGCTTTCAATTGTGAATGAGCAGATTTATAAGTTTCCATACCACGGGAAAAGGGTTAATTTTCAGTTCAGGGTTTTTGCTAAAAGGCTAAATATAGAGCAAATGTTTTCAAAGCCATCAACTACTGTGATATTTTTGGAACTGTTGGCAAGTATGATTAAGAAATTATGTATTGAGTTATTCTGAAACTATTTAATGGAAAGTATTTTTAAGGGGCTTTGCCTATGAAACAATTACACACATGTTGCATACATATTGACAGTAATGCAAAATAAGTAAAAATATTTGCAATAATGTACAACATAAACATTTACATATGTTTATTGCATTACGTAGCTCTTTAATTGGTTTAATTAAATTTATTGTTTCAGTCCTTCATCTTTGGAAATCTGCATCTAGTGTGCAATATTTTTGTCAGAGGTTTTTATCAAAAGTTCATTATTCATACAGCTGATTATTTTCTTAATTTTAAGCAGCCCTCAAAATATGTTTAAGGTATATTTACATTTTTGTTATTTACACTGAAAATTTCTATTCTTATATGGTTAACAGTTGTTTTATTATTCATATGGCTCTCTCTAAAAAGTTTCTGAGTTTTAGGTTTGATTAGATTTTAAGTTTCTGCAGCATGCTATTTTTTCATGTGTCAGTGTGGAGGGGGCGATTTGTAAATTTTAATTTTTAATGTCTTAAATAAGCATTTTTTTAAAAAAACACTTGTACGTGTATGATACTTTTTATATTTTTGGGTGTATTTTGATGGCAGTTGCTGAATTAACAGTAGTTGCTTATAATGCAATGTAGAAAATATGTGGAGGGTGTTCGTATTTAAAAGTTTTAAATATTTTCATCAGAAAGAACGTTCCTTCGACAGCCATATTAAAGCCACATTGGACTAATCACTAAAGGTGAATATTTCAGAAATCACTAAAGGTTATGATAAATTCTTTAGAATTTCTGTTCAGGATACTTCTAGAAGTAGCCATGAATGGCATCTATGATGTCATCCAAATTAAAAAATGAAACAGGTTTTTTAAAATTAATTTCTGAACGTAAAATATAATGTGATTATTAAAATACTTGAGAAAATCAGTTAATGAAAAATAATAGATAATTTAAATAGTATTCACATTTTATGATATTTGCTTTTGAATTGGATAAGCAAAATTTTATTCTTTTGGATTTAAAATATTTATTTTCCATAGTGATGTGAAAAAATACATTCAAATAAAGTAGTAACTGAAAATTTCGGCACTGTATATAGCTATATAATGTGACATTATTATTTGCATTTAAGTTATAGAAAGAAGGTAATTTCATTCATTGGCCTTTCCTAAAAAAAAATTTTTTTTTTTTCAATTTTATTTTAGAAAATATACTTTATAAAATTTTGCAGCATATTTATTAATATTTTTGCATTTTATGCTGAATACTTTTCAGTGTAAAATAGTTCTAACTGGAGTGTAATTTGTCGCTTCAGGCAGGGAAAATCTTGATGTGGTTAAATACGAGATCCAATTTATATGACTTTTGTGCATCTGAAGTAGTGCTGTGATGTGGATTTTTGTCAAGTTTTTCCAAATTTTATTCACTAAAAATTATGAATTACAAATTAATTTTTCTTTTAGAATATAATTTCAAATCATTAAATCTGAATTAGAAAATGGTGCTTTGAATCATATTAAGCAGAGTAACAGCATTAATATTCACAACTCGTATAACTTTTAACCGTAACTAATATTATTTGGATGATGTTATTTTAAAATGGATACTTTCTGTATAGTTGTAGGGAAAAAAAGTAAACTTCAAGAAAAAGGCCAAGAACACTTCTTCATTCATAGCCAGTCATATGTGGAGAGGTATAATGTGTGTTAGCATGCATTTTAAATCAGAGCTATTTTTATATTCAGTATGAATTGAAATTTAAAATTGCTTTGATTTTTTTAAGATTTGAAATCAGAACCCAATTTCTAAACTCAGTGCACTGCATACATAAGTTATCGACAGCGTGATCTTCGAAGTCTGCATATAATGCCCAAATATTATACAAAACTAGAATATTGGACCAGGCAGTATGCAGGATGGCATTGTTTTTAAAGTCATAATATTTGACTCTTAACATACATATAATAAAATGCACTTACATCTGGAAAGTTTAAATCACTGTAAATGAGATATTATCTCTGAAAAGTGCCTAAATATGTTTTGCTGATGTGCATTTTGTGGTTATAATGCAGAAGAATTACAGTAACGAAAGTTTATGTAATTTGTAAATTTTGCTGATTACAGGTCATAACTTTGTACTTTTTCCTTCTTAATTTTTTATGTTAAATCTGAGTTGTTTGCACATAACTAGCTAACTAAAACTCATTGTACCTTAAGACTTATTTAATCATGGTGTATTCAGAACAAAACTATTTTTTAATATGATTGCCTACAAAGAAAATGTCATTACGAGGGAAAGAAATTTAGAGAAAATGTGTAAAACTTTTGGGGAAGTAAAGAACTCTATGAAAATGCTTTGAAGACTTTTATGCAAAACAGATTTGTATATCTACTATATGTATATGATTTTTTATACAAAAACAATAACTGCTGTAATAAAAAGATCTGAATGTGTTTGAGCAAAATGCTTTGAAAATAATATTTATGCTTTTAACCCAGAGAATATAAATAAATAAGTAAATATCCAGTTCACAAAAACCCTGCCAACAGCGATTTCTCTTAGTTGGATTCATATATCTGCCATTACATTCCATGCTTCTGCAGTTGGATTAACAGCTAAACAAAAAGTCCTAGCATAGAAATTTTGGGCGAAAGATAAATTCTCTCCTTTTCTTCATCATGCTTTCAATTTTTAATGTTGGAAATGTCTTTACAAATACCATTTCCAAGATTCTTGTATTATTTATTGCTAATATACACCAACTCATTTAGGCGAAATGTAAACAAATCAGCAATGAGGTGCAAATAAGTTAGAATGCAGTGTCTCAAAAATGATGAGCAAATAAATTTTCATTATATATCTCAGAATTCCAGAAAAAATTTACAGCATAAATTTAGAATTAATACAAAAGGACATTTGAATATACATCCTAATGTAAGGATTTATCTAAGATAAAAAAATGTGTGGAGACTTATGATACATGTTTATTATTATTGGCAGGGGTGTAGATAATGCAAAATAACTTGAATAACAAAAATTAGCTTCTTCAATCAAAATATGTAATATAGTGCACCTATGATAAAAAGTTTATTTGTGGTATACATTAAAGGAATTACCATCAAATTCGCCATACATTAAAAGAATTACCATCAAATTTGCCATACATCAAAAGAATTACCATCAAATTTGCCATACTGAGGTTTCTGAAAAATCAAAATTTCTTTCTTCATGTTCCAAATTGAATACTAATTCAGGCATTTGCAGATAAATGCTGGTGAATTGTCAGAAATCTGCTGTATTTCTGAACAGATGGTTTGTTTAATTATGATAAAGCACTCGAAGGCTATCTGCCTAAGGCAGGCTGACAAACAGGAAATGTTGGTGGGTGCAGTTAAAAAAAAAAGTATAACAATTCTTAATATATTTTTATTTTATGGCAATCATAAGCATCATAAACAATACCCTACATTAAAAAGGTAACAAAAATTCAAAATAGTTGCATTTAATGCAATTTTTTGGCATTGCATATTATATAGCACAGAGTAGTGGGCACACAAAAATAGCTTCGCGATCATATTGGCGTCCGCGGGCACGGGGTTAAAGGAAGGGATGCCATTGTAAAAGACTTTCTAAGGAATTTCTGAGCAAAGCTAAATTTATCCAAGATTATTGGTTTGGTTTATGCAATTATGGCAAAGCCTCATGGGCTTTCTGCCTAGGGGGAGGTATGCCTTCGTGGAGGACTAAGGGAACTGGCTCATATACATGTTACACATGGGGAAAACCACAAAAACACCCATGCAGCCAGCCCATTCAGGGGATTTGAACCTCAAACTGAACTACCACTGTTCAGTGACTTTACCATTCGGCTGCGGGTGGGCGTATCCAAGATTTTTTAAATTTGGTCCAGAGATTTCCATTATTATTAAATAGTATTGTTATCATGTAAGCTGTTGTATTTTGTGGTTAGGATATCAAGTTTTTGTCTGTATATGAAAGTGAATATTGACAAAATGTGCAGTAGTAAACATGTGCCTTTTTTCGTATACAGGTATTTGGATTTGATGGATCAACAACTGTTGAAGAGTTCAGTCAGACTGTAAATAGAGAATTAGGAATAAGAGATTGTGAATATTCGGGTTTTGCTTTATTTAGTGATGATCCCATTGAGAAGGATTTAGAGCATTGCTTATTAAAAGAAGCTAAAGTAAGTATTACATCTTAATGGTAGTTGTTTTTGTGCATGACTGAAAAAGTGATCTAGTTACATTCTGGACAGTAATTCAACTTAAAACCTTAATAATTTATTATGAGACAAATGAGGAAATCCATCAGAAATGTACATAGATCATTTTTGATGTAGTCCTTCCTCATAGTGTGTAGTGCTTGTATTCAGCACTTCAGAAATTCACGGAATATCTTGTGAGAAGAATTATTTTCATTGTGATGGTAGCCATTTTTGCACCTTAGTTTTTACCCTTTCATTGCTTCAAAAATGTTTATTTCTGAGTTAATCAAACACATGAAAGTCATTGGGGCGAGTGAGGTATGGTGAATAACATCTGTGTAACATATTCAAATTTTCTATTGTGAATTGCCACAAACATTAAATGGGCAAAGTGAGATTGAGCATTATTATGCATCACACGTTAAGTCAGAAATTCTCATCATTTACTCCTAATTGCAGGACAGATGTGATCTTGGAGTAGATCTACTATTCAGATTAAGTACTGGTCACTCTTGCTTTGTTTTCATGTGATGTTCCAAAACAATCCATTTGCATTAAGACAAAGGAGCATGATATTTTTGGATTTTTAATGCACCCAGGTTTTATCTGCTGTAATAGTTCTTTTAAGAAATGCATTATGTTTGACTGGAAACAAAATGAAAGTTCCTCACAGTCTTTGACACAGATTGGCAATTCAGAGGTCAACTGATGTGATTCTTTTCTAGCCAACGTCTATCAGTGGCCAAGCAGTAAAGTCGCTGAATAATGGAGGTTCAGATCCCATGAATGGGGTGGCTGCATGGGCATTTTCCCCATGTGTAATGTGTATACAAGCCAGTTTCCCTCAGAAAGTTCTCCATGAAGGCATCCCTTCCCTTAGGCAGGTAGCCTTTGATGCTTTGCCATTATAACATAAACCAAACCAAACTTTTCTTGTCAACATTTCAATAAACCAGAATACATCATAGACTATACTATGTGCTGAACCTACACTGATATCCAAAATGGTGACTATTTCCTTCACAGTACTATGTCTGTTCTCCTTTATCACTACATGGCATGCCTGACCCACTCGCAGGTTATCCTCCACAGAAGGAATGCCACTTTTAAACTTTTATATTGCGTACTTGCTGCTTGGACATACATGAATCATCATACTGTGCTTTCATCTTGCAATGAATTTCATTTGGTTTAACATGTTTACTATTTTAAAAACACATCACAAATCACTGCCTTTCCATAGTGCATGTTGATAATGTGATGGCCAACTTTGCACTGATGCTACTTTCTTCTTCAATGCATTATGTTGCCACCTCTTGGTCATTCTTTGCACCACGAGGTTTCATCCTGCCAACTTAATTTTTTTGGAATTTTATTGCACATCTTTGTTTTTCATTTGAATCACATTTATTGATTTTATAAGAGGGTTCTGACACCTTTTTTTGAAAAAAAAAAAAAAAAAAAAAAAATGAAAAATTTTAATTCAAGCAAAAGGGAAAATGTTTACATTTCTTCTTTTATCATAATTACTAGGTATAGAATATATTTTTTTTTTGAGTTAAAACCTAGAATATTATCCTAGAATATCTCCTAGAATGATCCTAATATCTCCTAATATAAAATATCTCCTAATATCTCCTAGAATGATGTTTGCCATCATTCTAGGAGAATAGAAGCTCTTTCATTGCTGTAAAATTAGGCAAATTTAACTATGACATTAATTTTAGAGACAGCAAATAATCTAGAAATTGAGCTTAAAAAGAAATTTTTTAACTAATGAAAGGGAAAAATAATGACATGATTACTGCAGTTGCTCTGAAATGCTAGAATTTGAATAACAATAATTTCATCATTGTGCTTTCAATGGAAGAAATAACGTTTGAAAAGGGAGCACATTTTGGCAGTTTATACATATCTGGAAATTTTATTCTTGGACACAAAATCAAGGTTCTTTATAAATTAATGGCTGCTGCTTTACCTGCCATTTGTGGATAATATCAGAAATAGCGATTTTAATAATTTTTATATTGCTAAAATTTCAGAATCTGCAAATATATATATATTAACTTGGAAGCTTGCATTTCTCTCAGAGTCCCTACACAAAAATCATTGAGTGATGTATGCTGTAACTACATCTCTCAATAGTCTGGTATTTCGTTTTTGATAACTTAACAGGAAACTTTGATAAATGAAGGAGTGTTATATCTCTGAGTTTTAGACTGGGGTGGACTATAAAAGTTCACATGAACTTTAAAGCTAAGTGCTTGACAACATTTAGAAGAGAAACTTTACTTTCTGACCTGTTCTAATTATTGATGTTTGAATACAGCAACCGAACACATTTCTGTATTTTGAAAACGCAAGTGAAATTTGAAAATGTAACACAAGTTGAATTAATATTATTAATTCATTTTATTTGCGATCTTGTCGCCTTAAATTATGTTAAATTCTTTCAACTAAATCTGTGTTATATTTTTTAGGTCTGTGATGTTATATCTCAATGGGAACAAGCTTTACGTGTGAAACATTTGGGAAAGTTTGAGAATACCAAAGTTTTGAAGTTGACATACAAAAATAGGTGAAAATTCTAATACAAATTACAGTTCTATAATTTCATTTCATAGAAATGCCAGCCTCTTTCTGCCTGTTTTAATCATGCTGTGCTAAGTCTTGTTAAAATTAATGTTTCTGTAATTATATATGAAGGAAATGTAATTCTAAAGGTAATATAATAATCAGAGTGCAATAATCTCTTTTCTTTTCTTTTTTTTTTTTTTTTTTTTTTTTTTTTTTGTTTTTTTTTTTTTTTTTTTTGTTTTTGTTTGTTTTGTAGAATCATCTTAAGGCAAAATATGAAAGCTGAGACAGATAAAGAGAGATTGCTTTTAGTGTATCAGATAAATCAAGAAATTATGGAAGGAAAATTTCCCCTAACTAAAGAGCTTGCTCTGGAATTGGCAGCATTATTAGCTCAAGTAAGTTCTTTGATGTTTATTCTTTATCATTATTACCTGTTGATAAATATTATTATTTACTGATGTATTTTTGTCTTTTGATAATTGTATATATAGAAAACATTACTTTCAGTCTTTGCACTGGTAATATTATTTTAAATACAAAGCAGTAAAATATATTCTGCTCAGAAGTGTACATTCATATTAGATTAGATATTCATTCCCGTACTGTTCATATTAACAACATAATCAGTTTTTTTAAACAAAACATTGTTTAGTATCAAGTTTGTGAACTTGTAAGCAGTCTGTTATTTTGCATTATTTTACTGCAGTTGAAGCCCAGAAATTTACACAGGGACTGGAAGTTGAGTGAATTTTAAAATTTTGTGGATTTCACTTCATAAAAGGTAAAACACTCTGGGGTGCTTCATGTTATAATCATTAGATTGAAGGAAAGCAGAATAAATAAATAAATAAACAAACAAGATGAAAGCATTTTTTTCTAATTTTTAATGCATAATGATTCATTTTTAAAATGAAATAACTTTTAAAAGCATGTAGACTTACAATTTGTTTTTAGCGTTTTTCAAAAATCTTTTCTTATTATACATTGTTCTGAAACTTTAAGATGTTCTAGTATCAGATTCTGTCCCCAAAGTTATGTATAATCCTTACTTCTTAATCAGATGTGTCAATTTGCAGTAAAAAAATTTCAATATACAGTACAAAATGTGTAATCCGGATGTCTATTATCCGGAATGATCTGTAACCTGGACCTCAAAGCCACAAACTATTTGTTGTATGCTTTACGCATGCGCATTTAATGTATAATGGACGGTATAAGCTAGGCTAAAATTACCTTTACTGATTCTAAAGCATTTCAGTTAATATTGCAGATTACGCTGTTCCTTAATCTTCTAATTGGATCCGGCTTGTTATATTTTGCAGACTGTTGGAGCAATTTTATAAAAATTAAGCTTGGTTTACCTGGTGACTCAAAAATAGCCCTGATTGTTGACAACTGTTCGGCACATACTTGACTTAAAGTTTTAATGAAAGATAATGTATCCATATTATTCTTCTCTCCAAATTGTACGTCTATCATTCAGCCTATGGATATGGGAATAGTGCACGCGCTGAAATGCAAATATAAAGTAGCATATTTAAAATCTGTGTTAAATTTCTTGAACAAAAACAAGACTATTCAAGATTTTTGAAATTTTTTAGTATAAAATTTGCTGTGTGGAGCATTGCAAGATCATGGGAGGATGTGTCTCCAGGTACGTTAAAAATGCTTGGCATAATTTATGGCCAGCTACCTCATTTCATGGTGAGGACAATGAAGATGATAGCTGTGAATATGAAGGTTTTTGGACATTGCAAACTAAAAGTGACATTTTCCAGTTATTGGATTTTGTAAAGAAATGTGGAAAAGTGGTAATAAATGAAGATGATATAAAGAAGTTTTTCATTGTGACGACAATGCTCCAATCATAAATCAACGGACAGCGAAATCTGTAGTATGGTTCTAGATCCAGAAAATACCGCTTCCGATAGTGAAGAAAGTGACAGACAGGTTATTGAAAATGAAAATTTTTTAATTGACAAGTTAGTCGGTATTCTTGGCACAACAATTACAGGACGTGAACAGTGGAACTTTGTAACTGAACAAGAAATTATGTCTTTTTATAGAATTAAAGAGAAAGTATTAGTATAAAAAACAAAGCAACTTAAACAACTTACATTGAAAGAAATGTTTAATAAACAAATAAATATTAAGCATTTTTTTTTTTTTTTTTTTTTTTTCAAATTTTGGTACCCTTTAGATCATAATTCCTCTTTATTTCATAAATTACGGTTTCATGTTTTTACATGTATCATTTCTGCATGCCATCTTACCAGATTTAAATTGGGGATCTATAATATGGAAAAACCCCTAATCCGGAATCGCTGAAGTCCCGACGAGTCCTGATTATGGACTTTGAACTGTATTTTACTTGTCACAGTGTTTCTACATCAATTGTGTCATACATTTATCAAGGTAGACTTCATTATAAAAGTTTTGCAATTTCTCTACCATTATTAACTGTGAATTTCATTATTTTCATTTGAGAGTTCATGTATTAGGTTGATAGATTTTTAGTCTTCTACACTCAAGTAATTTTACATTTTACTTTACAATAGAATTACAATATGTATTAATTTTTTCTTTCAGATTGAGTTTGGTGATTATAATGAAAATAGTCGATCAAATGAAGTCATCACTAAGCAGCCGCTTCAGTTACTGCAAGTTATGGATCAGTTTTTTCCAAAGAAATTTAGAGATAGCAATAGTGATAAGTTAGTTTCCTTGTTACTATTTTTGAGAAAATTTCTTTTGACATATATAAGCCCCCTTGAAGGAATGAATTAATTTTTATTAAACAATTGGTGGTCATGAATGAGCTCAGCTCACATTCCAATTACACACCACAGTGGACACAAACAAGCTTCCATTACAAATTTACGACTGACAGCTATTGCACATACATATTATGTAAGAAAGAATTGCTTAATCTCACAACTGCAGAAGGGATAATGTTTTATAATTCACTTTAGACATGATTAGATTTATATCATGTTATTTAGTTTAACACATACAATAAATAAGTATTCTCCACATTTTCCAGCTTAAACCATCCATTCGTTATCAATATCCAAATGAATTTTATTTTTACTTAGCTTCTTTAGTCCAATCGTTGGCTAAGCAGCTGGTAATTCAACCTTGTTCAAGTCCAAGCAAGTGGGCTGGATGGATGGGCATTTTCATAGTTTGCTTCATGAAAACATGGATACAAGCCAGTTTCCCTTAGAAAGTGCTGCATGAAGGCATACTTCCACTTAAGCAGATAGCTCTCATGTGCTTTGCCATAATCAAATAAACCAAACCAACCTAAATTAGAAGTTTTAATATTTTAGTTTTATTAACATTATTATCATTTAATTTTCAAGGTAATATTAGTATTTATTAAGTATCTTAATTACCATGGATAATAATTATCATGTTATCATAGACACTAAGCTTTGTTCTTCATTTACATATTTATTTTTGCTGTAAGTTGTTCCTCTCCCGCCTTTGATAACGTAATGTCCATTTTCCTCTCAAGGAACTTGGAGACATAAAGGGACTCCCTTGCTTTATTAACCATGCTTAGTGGTCTGTCATAAATTTTTGCATGGGGGAGAACTTCGTGCCGACCTCGAAAAGGAGAGAGAAATCTCTTCTCACTTTTGCCAGGAGTGGATTTCCCCTCTCCCCCCCCCATTGTAAGTGGAAATAAAAGAAGAGATTTGAATGGGAAGAACATGAACATGTGGTGTTGTTCGCTTCGTTGTAAAAAAGATGAATTTTGGAATTTTTAAAAATGTTAATTAATATATCATTAAATTTATTTATCCAAGGAAAGGTCTGATTGCTGGCTATACTGCAATACTAAATAAAAACGAACTTGAAATTTTACATCTCAATATGCGCTGAAATATATTATTTTTTACTGTTATCTAGGCATATAATTTTTATTTTCGGAAATGATGTATATATGGTGTTTATCCATAAAACTTATAAAATATGTGTTTTGTTCCAGTTCCATCTTTGAGATCTGATTCAAATACTCATGATACATTTGCAATGATTGGAGTGTTTATACTTGCTATATTATATTATGGGTGTGTGGGGTGGGGTGTATTTAATTATGGCAAAGCACACTAGGGCTATCTGCCTAAGGAAATGGATGCTTTCGTGGAGGACTTTCTAAGGGAAACAAGCTCGTGTACACGTTACACATAGGGAAAACCACGAAAACACCCATGTAGCCAGCCCGTTCGTGGGATTTGAACCTCCGACCGAACTACCAGTGTTCAGCGACTTTACCGCTCGGCCGCTGGTGGGCCATATTATATTATGACTATTTATGATTTTATTATGATTGTTGCAATTTTAAATGTAAAACATGATAGTTAGGTACATAATGTGCATTACTGAGAGATACAAATAAGTAAGCAGTACATTTGGTCATGCGTAAAATATGCCATTTTACTTGATCCAATAAACTATCTTAAGCCAGAATACTTGTCTGCAAATTTTGCTCATAAAAGTGTGGAGTTTTGTGTTTTTAATTAAGTGGGCATATCTTTTAAGTAAACGTATACATACTTTTAAATATAGTAACTATTTTAGTAACTTGAATTTTCCCTCTATCACAAATTTAAGAGAAAAAGGGTAAATTTAGCTTATATGTAAATCATAATTAGGTTATATTAATCATTATGAAGGCCCTGCTAGGCATCTGAAGCATATGAGGTAGTGCCAGGTTTCATCTTTTTCAGAATTTTATTTTACTACATGCTATTCCTTGAAACTAATATCTATTTCAAAATATTTGTATGTTTACTTTCATTTGCTTATTTTCTGCTTAACTGTTTAGATCAGTACAACATATTAAATAGAGAATGAACTTTTCTTGAATTCAAGTAATAATAGCTAAATAGTCATAATTATTTATGTAATATAATGATTGAAAATGATAGAAGTTTAAATGAAAAATGTTTTAAAAGCTTATGCTTAAAGTTTTTATTTGGTAATTTAACAAAGAATTTCAAAATGATTATGCTTAAAGGCCCAGATGTGATAGGCATTCTGAATTTGAATTCTTTGGCAGTTCTAAAAATGAAATGAGGTAGATGGCATTTTCTTTTATATCAAGATGGTGGTAACACAAGAAGTAATTCAAGAATATTGAACATGTGTGATATATATATAAATTTAATGATGACTGAGAATAGCTTCGAGGGAGAGTACATTATTTTATTTTCAACTATAATATTTGGCCTTCATATCACATACAGTGTCTCACAAAAGTGATGGGACACTTGTGCTTTACAAAAGGAAACTGTAGTAAAATAAATTTAAAAAAACATGTAAAAATTTTTTGTGGGTGTGTTTCATACTTAAATTTAGTAACAATTATTACATAACATACATTTTCTCAAAATATTAAAATAGTAATTTAATAAAAATACAATTGTTTAGAACGGAGCAAAAAATGGCTCACATAAGTGATGGGACACTTACTTTTCCATCAAATATTTACCCAAAAATTTTACTTTTAAAAGGTTTTAATATTTGTTTGATTTCCTTTACTTTTAAAACATGATTTAATCTTCTTGGGATGGATTCGACTAATTTTTTTTTTTTTTTTTTTTTTTTTTTTTTTTTTTTTTTTTTTTTTTTTTGATTTTTTGGAGAGATTTTACCCCATTCTTCTTGAAGCACCGATTTTAATTGTTCTTTTGAAGAAATGGGTGTGTTTGCGAATTCTTGATTCCAATTCTTGCCAAATATTCTTCTATGGGATTTAAGTCTGGAGATTGTGGTGGTGTTTTTATTATTATTTCAGGATAGTTATACAGCAGCCAGAGTCTAACGTTCAAAGCAGTGTGCTTGGGGTCATTGTCCTGGTAGAATTTAAAATCGTTATGAAAGTTCAATTTTTGTGCTGAAGATTTCAAATTTTGATTTAAAATGTCAATATACTTGTACTGATCCATTATACTGTCAATAAAAACAAGATTGCCAACTCCAGCGTATGACATACACCCCCATACCATAACTCCTCCTCCACCATGTTTTACTGTTGGCACCAAGTTCTGTTTGCGAAATTCTTCCCTGAGTTTCCTCCACACCAAGATTCTACTGTCAGAACCAAACATATTAAATTTACTCTCATCAGTAAATATAACTTCATTCCAGTAATCAGAATTCTTATTTATGTTGGATTTTGCGAAAGCCAGTGTGAGTTTTCTATTCTTTTCACTTACGAAGAATTTTTTCCTGGTTGCTCTACCGTGATATCCATCAAATCGAATTACTCTTCTAATAGTCTCAGGATTAACAATTACTCCATATAATGCTTGTAAATCAGCAGCAACCTTAGGAGCACTCATTCTTGGAGTTTTTTTTAATATTTCGAACGCTAATTCGCTTTATTCCATTGGATAGCTTTGATGGTCGGCCAGGTCTTCTTTTATTCTGAATCATATGATTCTTTTTATATCAATTAATGATATTGAAAAATGTTGAATGACTCAAGTTAACTGTTTCAGCAGTTTCTCTAATAGATTTTCCAAGTTCAATATGCAAATTAATAACTAATTTTCGAATTTCAGGCAAAGTTTCTTTTCGTTTAGCATTTATGGCTGCACAAGCTAAAAAACACAAAAACTCCAAAACAAACTGGAAATACTGCAGACGATTTTATAAATTATTGCCAATTGCTTTTGAGTAAAAATAAAAACCCCCAAAATTATTTTTATTGTAGTACGTAGTAGTATCTAATGGTGTACCATCACTTATGTGAGCCATTTTTTGCTCCGTTCTAAACAATTGTATTTTTATTAGATTAATATTTTGAGAAAATGTATGTTATGTATTAATTGTTACTAAATTTAAGTATGAAACACACACACAAAAAATTTTTACATGCTTTAATTTATTTTACTACAGTTTCCTTTTGTAAAGCACAAGTGTCCCATCACTTTTGTGATACACTGTAAGTATTTCAAGTGTTTTGTTTTAACTCAACTAAATGGTTGGTAACATGAAAATTTCATTTTATTTTTTTGAACTGAAAAAAAATATCAGTTTGAGATAAAAGTCTTTTTTAATTCTAGGTAATCATGGAAATCTCATTTTATTTCTTTTAGCTCAAAAAGAGTATTAGTCTGCAGCAATGTATTTCAAAACTCTATGTAATGAGTCTAATGTTCAATTTATGCAGCAATATTTTTTACTAAATCCTGCTAAAAGTAATGCAATAAATTATAGCAGTTTAGAGCTGATATCCTGCCTGGCTGTCAATTCATCAGCATGTAAATTTTTTTGGTTACCTTGCATAACTGCATATGCTAAGTGGAAAAGAAAAGATGACTATATTTATTTCTTTAAATACTGATTTCAGATGTCCGGTTACAAAGTTCCTGAAAATTAGGTACAAAATTTTATGAATGCATCACAGCACTATGAATAGGACAATTCTGTCAAATTAAAAGTTAACATTTTCATATAGTATTTTCAAAATGTTAAAAAACTCTTAAAGTAGTAATGCTTTAATTTTTTTCAATTAAAAAATTGTATGTATTTATGTATGAGGTTTGAAGATATCTAGAATGAATTTATTGGGTTATGTCCCTTTTTCTATACTTATTATAACTTAAAGCTTTCAAAAATGCATTCAAAGAGCAGCTGTTAAATGATATCCGTTTTTTAAATACATTAGCCTCAATTATAAAATTTGTAGCTGGATTAAATTTCAGTAAAATTTTTTATTGTGGGAATTTTGCACTTACAAAAACTTGTTTCTAACTGATTTCATAATGACTGGTTTAATAATTGGAAATTTGTGGCTTTTAAGGGTTCTATATAATAAGTAGATTTTTCCCTTTACAGAATGATTTTTTGTGTATACAGTCAAAAGTCGTTAATCCGGACTCGTCGGGACTTCGGCTATTCCGGATTATAGATCATCAGTTTAAATCTGGTAAGATGGCATGCAGAAATTATAAAATTAAAAATATGAAACCGTAAATTTATGAAATAAAGAACAATTATGATCTAAAGGGTATCAAAATTTACAAAAAAAAAAAAAAAAAGCAGCTTAATATTTATTTGTTTACTTTATTAAACATTTCTTTCAATGTAAGTTGTTTAAGTTGCTTCGTTTTTTTTATGTGATAATACATTCTCTTTAATTCTATAAACAGACATAATTTCTTGTTCAGTTATAAAGTTCCATGTTCAAGTCCTGTAATTGCTGTGTCTAGAATACCGACTAATTTGTCAATCGAAATTTTTTCCGTTTTCAATAACCTCTGTCACTTTCTTCGCTATCGGAAGCGAATTATAATGAACGAGGAATTTGATTTAAATCATATCAAAGACGGAGTACATCGAGATGAAATACTACATTTAGTAAGGAATTATAAGCCAAATAAAATAAAAAACATCTGCCCTGAAGATAAGGATAGTGCTGACAGATCAACTTCCAATTCATTGCACCCCTGGCATTAAAGATAAACAAAGTTAAATAAACGTTAAAGTTTAGATAAATAAAGGATATGCCTTTATCCATTTTTTGCAGCAATTCCACTTTTTGTTTAATGAACTTCGAAACATACTTTCGCTTTGTAGATCCTTTACATATTAATAATATATATTAGAAATTCTATTTCACATAATCGAAAGTTCAAGCTTACTTTTATAAAATTGCTCTAATAGTCTGCAAAAAAAAAAATAAGCCGGATCCAATTTGAAGATTAAGGAACAACGCAATCTGCAACATTAACTGAAATAGATAATTTTTAGCTTAGCTTATACTGTCCATTGTACATTAAACGCGCACTTGTAAACTTATTTTGTGCACGCGCACAAGCATATTCGCAGCCGTAAAGGTCAACGCGACGCATGCGCAGAAAGTTTGTAGCTTTGAGGTCCGAATTAACGACTTTTGACTGTAGACTGTTTTCATAACATTCTGTATTTTATTATAAGAAACTTTGTATTAGGAGTTTGTCTACCTTTTTTCAAATACTTCTATATGTGCAGCTGAGGTGATAAGACTGGTGAGGGTTGTTGATGGGTAATTTTTATTTATGTAATTATGTATAATAGTGGCAACAGTTGTATTTCTAAGTGAATTGTACCAGCGGTTAACATTTCGGTGCTGTTTCAGTTATTTAAGCAATATTTTTCAATCTGTATTCTGTTATTTTATGTTATTGTGTAGCATAAAATATGTAAAACTACACATGCTTTTCTGTGTACATGGGCATAGTTTTTTTTTTTTTTTTTTTTTCCCCCAAAGGCTGGCCACTCATCCTTAGGTTGATTCCCATCACTGAATGAACAGCCTGCTTATTTTTCCATGTAGACAAAGTAAACATAAGCCAATATTCCTTTTAAAAATGCCTGACAAAGCCTCCTTTCCTCAGGCCTAGAGTGTTCAGATGCTTACCATGCTAAATAAGTTTTACTTGCATGTTTGTGCTTCTGTTGAAAAATAGACTTACTCTTTATCTTTCATGTCATAGGAGATTTCAAGAGATAATAAAGGACAGGTGGATGGCTTTACGAGGTCGGAATACTGTAGACTGCGTTCGAATTTATCTGAACTGTGCAAGGAAATGGTCTTTCTGCGGAGGGAAGCTATTTTTAGCTAAGGTACTTTTTTTGTTTTTAATTTCGTATATTATAAATTATAATTTTTATAGTGTAAAAACGGTATTAAAAATGAGTTTTAAGGTGTTGATATAATATTACATAGTGCAGCATTATAACATAGTACAATACTGTATCAACATTCTACATTCATATGGTTTTTTGTATGTAAATAAGTGTTTTCTGGTTAATAAAAAAATACGATTAATAATAGAGATTTCAGTTTGCATTATAAGGAATGGCAGCTTTTATTGACATGTGCCACTTCTATGTAAAATCATTAGTTGTATATAATATTACCATTTCCAGTAGTTGTTTAAGATAATAGTAGAGCGACATTAGAAACATCTGTATGCAAATCCTCAAAAAGATAAGCTATTATGTCACATCAGATCTCATTACAATATCAGGCCTTTATCATTTATATAACCAGTGGTGTACATTCCTGACTAGTTGCAAAGCTGTGAGAAGGGTAGTGCTTACAGCTGGTACTGCGATTTAATTACTTTTGTATTTAGTTTTAAGAACGTTTCATGAAAACAAGCAAATTATTCATTGCTGAGATTGGCTGCATTTGCTTCATGATGCAAAAATGTTAATCATTGTGACAACAAGACAGTATGATACAGGAGGAGAAAAGAAATTTAGAAACCTGCTCATTGGCTTAGCAAAATGTACTGTAATCTTTATTCACAAAATTAATAAATTTTTAATATTTATAAGTAACTAAATTGCAGTGCAAAAACAAAAGCAATTAAAGTTTAATGCAACTATGCTTCCCCATCAAAAGAATATGTATTGGCATCCAGCCAGAGTAATCACTGTATGGATTTTTCTATATCCTTTGCTTTTCTATATTATTCAATCCATCAGATATGCTATTACTAACACTGAGTTTTGCATGTTTTTTGAGTCATAGTCAGTTGATCATTTTAGTGTGCTTAATAGTCAGTTGATCATTTTAGTGTGCTTAATTTGAAATTTAGCATAGAAGATCAGTAGTGCTAATCCCTGGTCTAATAATATGTAATCCAAGTTGAACAGTTCTAAGCTGAATATTGCTGATCCACTAATAAATCTGTAAGCATACCATCAGTTGTAAAGAAATAGTGTGGTAAATCATCATATGTGGAAATACCTAGGAAAATCATGTTATTTAATTATCAATATAGTTTCTATTAAATGAAAGTGATTAAAATACCTGACAGATTTACATAAACCACATGAAAGCAAGGAAGTCAGCTTACTTAAGAGGGAAAACAAAGCATGAACAACCTGTACTTTTAATCCACTTAAGCGCATATGGAAGACATACATGAAATACTATATTTTAGCGTACAATAATTTATTATAATACATAAATTTTAATAGGTAATCCTGATTTTTTTTATGTCATGATTTTAAGTTTTTGAGGGCTGATGTTCAGTGTGTTGAAAAAAAAAAATTCTTTACCAAAAGAAAAAAAAAATTCCAAATTGTTACATTGTGTTTGGAAGATAGTCCTTAATTGATGGAATTTGAGATGGTAGAATGTCATATTAATGCACTATTTGATATGAATGTCATGGCTGTCTAGAAATCAACATTTGATACATTGTTAGCAAAGAAGAAACATGAAGAAATTTAGATTGAGTGAGCAGTACCTTTTGGCTTTTGTAATTCCTCTTAATGTACAACAATCATTTTTACTTTATATATTTTTGTACTAGCATTTTGTATTATGCATTACTAACTGTATTTTATATACAGTAATAATTTTTTATGCAAGAATCAGCTATATGCCTATGCTGCTATTTTGTGTATGTTGAATATTAATTTGGGGTAGGTGTTGAGAGTCTGGCATAGAGTGAAACTTGGTTACCTATCAAAGGAGCATACTTATTTTAAGTTAAACATAACCTGTAATGGGTGCTTTCCTTGAACTTAACAAAACCGATGAACAGGATATTTGAACTTACGACCTATCAGGAAAAGCATAACATGCATAAGATGGAGGGTTGATAACAGGGGATTAATACTTGACTTGTGGGCAGGTACTTAGCTTCAACTATTCCATACCATATTTCATATAAATGCTGTCTAAGAGATTCTGCTAGATTCTTATTACCATTTTATTCTTTGACAGCCATTTTCCATGTCAGGATTCCATGTATCCCATCGCCAAACCATACTCGAGAGAATCACGGCTACTGGCCACGTCAGTAATCAGGTATGACACACACCTTGTATAGGCACATCAGGAGGACACACAGTCTTCACAACGTTCTTGGCTTCTGCTGTGGGTTTTATAGTGTTGAACTTTATGCTTCTTTGTTTGAGAGTAAAGAATTGGATTTTTAATTAAATGCTGTGCACTTTGATTATCATTATATAACACAGTTGGTTCTGCTATCTTCGAAAAACCTAGCTCTGTTAATAGCATACGGAAGTGCATCGCTTCTTTTGAAGCTTCAGTTAATGATATGTATTTTGCTTTAATACTTGATGGTGCTACAATTCTTTGCTTTTATGATTCCCAAAGAAATGAAGCTTCCTGCTGATATGAAACCATTCGCACTAAAAGATTTCCTTTGAGCCCAGTGCATACCTACATAGCATTTAAGCCTTTCATTTCTTTTGCAGTAAGTTATATTAAACTTTAACATAGATTTGCAGTATTGTAGTATGCATTTTGCTTGAATCTAATGAAAATATTTTGGGTGATTCTTAACTTAACTAAGTCTACTAACAGAATTTGCAGTATCAGATCATGTAGATACAGCTCTAAGGGTCTTAATATAGGTTCACATCTTTACACACAGCATTTCTGGTAGAAATCACCTAAAATGGCAGATATATTTTGAAATATAGTAGAAAGAAATAAGCAAACCACAAATGTATGTTACATGTTTATTTACTTGACTAACTAACTGTTGCCATTCAGCAAAAAACAAAAAGAGCTACACATGAATATTAAAGAACATAGAATGTATATTTATAGCATTGCTTTGGCAGATACAACATCATAAAAATAAAATAAAGTTTATTTCTACCACTCCTTGCCAAAGTATGCCTAAAAGAACTTTCACTTAAATTGATTAAATACAACGTTCCAAAAAAAAAATTAGGAATTTAAAAAAAAAAAAAAGGATATTTACAGTAACTCTTCATAACTGAAAATTAAAAAAATTGGTAAACGAAATTTACAAGTGTTACGAGCATACACAGGCACTTTTTATATCACACATGGAAGGGCTATTTGTGAAAACCTAAATATTTTCTTAAGTTGGTTAACACTGCCTTTAAAATGTTTTTAGTCAGAAGATCAGCTATGTTTTCCTTGGAATTTACATATTCCAATTTAATCACAACTTATTCAGTATTGTCACGGATGAAGTGATGCTTAATGTCCATGTGCTTACTGCGTTCAGATGTAGTTTGGTTTTGTGCAATGAACATAGCTGCCTGGTTGTCTACTTTTATAACTGAGGGCGATGGGATAAACTTCAACGTTCTCAGTTCCTTCAACATTCTCCTTCATAAAACTTCCTTTGTAGCAAGGCCAGTAGCCACATATTCGGCTTCAGCCAACGATAGGGCAACAGTAGACCGCTTCTTACTGCACCAAGATATTGCAGCAGCACCTAAGATCAGAACATATCCACTGAAGGACTTTCTGTTGTCCTTGTCAGCATCCCAGTCAGCATCAGAGAATGTTTCAAGGACTCTTCCTGTCTCTCTGAATGTAAGGGATAGATGTTTGGTCTCTTTAAGATAGCAGAAAAGATATTTAACACTTCTTCAGTGAAATTCAGATAGCCTCTCATTAAACTGGCTCATATAAGTTGCACTAAATGCAATATCAGGACATGTTCTGCAAGCAAGGTATAATAGGCTACCTATGGCTTGCCTGTATGGAATTTGGTCACTTTCTGCTTTTATATCTGTCCACTCTTCATTATCTAGCTTTTGGTGTTTTACAATGGGATCAATGGGTGTTGATGCTCCCCTGACTGATTCTAATTTGAACTCTTCCAGAATTTCTTCTATATAAGCTGTTTGATCTAATGTTAAGGTGTCATCAGTATGGTTCTGGATCCTCATAGATAGTATTTCATTTGCTTCACCAAGGTGTCTTGCTTTGAATCTTTACACAAATTTATGCTTAAATGTGGTTATTTCCTCTAGGGTCCCAAAAATTAACACGTCATCTACATAGATACCAAGATATAATGCTTTGTTTGGATGATAATAAATGCATGGATCACATTTTGAGCGTGACAGTCCACAATCCTTCAAGAAAGTATCAAAGCATTCATTCCATTGTCTTCCGGATTGCTTTAAGCCATGCAAGCTTTTCTTTAAATGGCACACTAGATGCTGTTTACCTTGCTCTTGAGATCCTTCAGGTTGTACCATACATATATATATATATATGTCTTCCTTGAGTAAGCCATTTAGATAGGCAGTAGTGATGTCCGTTTGATGAATTTCCATTTGTAACTTGACAGCAAGGGCTAGAAGGATTCTTATAGATTTTATCTTTACAACAGAGGAGAAAGTCTCTGAAAAATCTCTACCAGGGACTTGAGTGGTAGCCTTTAGCTACTAATCGAGCTTTAAATTTGGTTATTTCTCCTTCTGCATTTTGTTTTTCTTTGAATACCCACTTGCATCCTATGGGTTTGATGCCAGCTGGCTTTGGAACCAATTCACATGTCTGGTTTTCATACAAATTAGACAGTTCTTCCTTCATGGCTTCTTTCCACATCTCTGCATTTGGTGAATTCATTGCTTCTTTTACACTTGTTGGGTTCTTACAGATTTTGATGGCAGGTTGTTCTTCACAAACAGCTTTATATAACACTGGATCCCCATAGTAAGTCTTAGTTCTCCTTTCTCTAGTGCTTTTCCTGATTCCAATAGGGTCTTCCTTACTACTATCAGAATCTTCCTGGAATGCTGATTTTGTGTCTTCAGTTTCTTCTGCTGTGTCATTTAATGGGCTTTCAACATCTTCAACT